GCATAAAAAGTCATAAAAACGTCATAGTATTGTAAGGCATAAAAAGTAATAAATACATCATAGTATAGTAAGGCATAAAAAGTCATTGTTTAGCAAGACATAAAAAGTCATAAAAATGTCATAGTATAGTAAGGCTAAAAAGCCATAAAAACGGCATAGTATAGTAAGGCATAAAAATGGCATAGTACAGTAAGAAACAAAACATCATAAAAATGTCACACTATAGTACGGCATAAAAACGACAAAAACATATAGTTAAATTTTAATTCAATTTTATTTGCATACTATCAAATCACAATATAAATGACCTCACAGCACTTTACAGGGTAAGGTTGAGACTTTGCTGTATTAGAGACAAAAAACCACCAGTTGACACTATGAGGAAGCACTTTGTGATGGGGGAGAAAAAACTTCCTCATGACAGAAAGAAACCTTAAACAAAACCGGCATCAGGGCGGGCAGCCGTCTGCCTTGACCGATTTTCTTAGTATAGTAAGGCATAAAACGTTATAGTATAGTATGGCATAAAAAGTCGTAAAAATGGTATAGTATAGTAAAGCATGAAAAGTAATAAAAACATCATAGTATAGTAAGGCATGAAAAATCATAAAAACAATATAGTATAGTAAGGCATAAAAAGTCATAAAAACTGCATAGTATAGTAAGGCATAAAAAGTCATAAAAACGGCATAGTATAGTATGGCATAAAAAGTCATAGCATAGTAAGGCATGAAAAGTCATAAAAACATCATAGTATAGTAAGGCATGAAAAGTCAGAAAAACGACATAATATAAGAAGGCATAAAATCGTCATAGTATAATAAGGCGTGAAAAAACCCAATAAAAACCTCATAGTATAATAATTTTTAAAAAAGTCACAGTATAGTATGGCATGAAACGTCATAGTATAGTAAGGCATAAAAAATGACATAATATAGTAAGGTGGAAAAAAACCTCATAAAAACACCAAAGTATAATAAGATGTAAAACACATCAGAAAACATTACAGTATTCTAAGGCATACAAAACGTCATAAAAATGACATAAAATGACATAGTATAGTAAAGTGAGAAAAATGACATAGTATAATAAGGCATAAAAATGACATTAAAAACACCACAGTATAATAAGGTGTAAAAAAACTTCATAAAAACACCACAGTATAATAAGATGTAAAAAACATCAGAAAACGTCATAGTAATCTAAGGCATTAAAAAGGTCATAAAAATGACACAAAAATGACATAGTATACTATGGCATAATAAAGTCATAGCATAGTAAGGCATGAAAACCGTCATAAAAGCACCATAATATAGTAAGGCGTCAAAAACGACATAGTATAGTGAGGCATTAAAAAATGTAATAAAACGACACAGTACACTAAGGCGTAAAAAAGGTCATAAAATCGTTACAGTATAGTATGGCATAAAAAAGTCATCAAAACGGCATAGTATAATAAGGCATAAAACGTCATAAATACGGCATAGTAGAGTAAGGCATAAAAAGTCATAAATACATCATAGTATAGTAAGGCATAAAAAGTCATCAAAACGGCATAGTATAATAAGGCATAAACGTCATAAATACGGCATAGTAGAGTAAGGCATAAAAAGTCATAAATACATCATAGTATAGGAAGGCATAAAAAGTCATCAAAACGGCATAGTATAATAAGGCATAAACGTCATAAATACGGCATAGTAGAGTAAGGCATAAAAAGTCATAAATACATCATAGTATAGGAAGGCATAAAAAGTCATCAAAACGGCATAGTATAATAAGGCATAAACGTCATAAATACGGCATAGTAGAGTAAGGCATAAAAAGTCATAAATACATCATAGTATAGGAAGGCATAAAAAGTCATCAAAACGGCATAGTATAATAAGGCATAAACGTCATAAATACGGCATAGTAGAGTAAGGCATAAAAAGTCATAAATACATCATAGTATAGGAAGGCATAAAAAGTCATCAAAACGGCATAGTATAATAAGGCATAAACGTCATAAATACGGCATAGTAGAGTAAGGCATAAAAAGTCATAAATACATCATAGTATAGGAAGGCATAAAAAGTCATCAAAACGGCATAGTATAATAAGGCATAAACGTCATAAATACGGCATAGTAGAGTAAGGCATAAAAAGTCATAAATACATCATAGTATAGGAAGGCATAAAAAGTCATCAAAACGGCATAGTATAATAAGGCATAAACGTCATAAATACGGCATAGTAGAGTAAGGCATAAAAAGTCATAAATACATCATAGTATAGGAAGGCATAAAAAGTCATCAAAACGGCATAGTATAATAAGGCATAAACGTCATAAATACGGCATAGTAGAGTAAGGCATAAAAAGTCATAAATACATCATAGTATAGGAAGGCATAAAAAGTCATCAAAACGGCATAGTATAATAAGGCATAAACGTCATAAATACGGCATAGTAGAGTAAGGCATAAAAAGTCATAAATACATCATAGTATAGGAAGGCATAAAAAGTCATCAAAACGGCATAGTATAATAAGGCATAAACGTCATAAATACGGCATAGTAGAGTAAGGCATAAAAAGTCATAAATACATCATAGTATAGGAAGGCATAAAAAGTCATCAAAACGGCATAGTATAATAAGGCATAAACGTCATAAATACGGCATAGTAGAGTAAGGCATAAAAAGTCATAAATACATCATAGTATAGGAAGGCATAAAAAGTCATCAAAACGGCATAGTATAATAAGGCATAAAAATGACTTAAAAACATCATAGTACAGTAAGGTGTAAAAAAAACTTCATAAAAACACCACAGTACAGTAAGGTGTAAAAAAAACTTCATAAAAACACCACAGTATAATAAGGTGTAAAAAAAACTTCATAAAAACACCACAGTATAATAAGATGTAAAAAAACATCAGAAAACGTCATAGTAATCTAAGGCATTAAAAAGGTCATAAAAATGACACAAAAATGACATAGTATAGTATGGCATAATAAAGTCATAGCATAGTAAGGCATGAAAACCATCATAAAAACACCATAATATAGTAAGGCGTAAAAAACGACATAGTATAGTGAGGCATTAAAAAATGTAATAAAACGACACAGTACACTAAGGCGTAAAAAAGGTCATAAAATTGTTACAGTATAGTATGGCATAAAAAAGTCATAGCATACTAAGGCATGCACAACTACATAATATAATAATGCTTAAAAATGTCATAGTATAGTAAGGAATGAAATCATCATAACAACGACATAGTATCTTAAGACATAAAAACATCACGGTATAGTATAATATGCCTAAATTGGTTGTCTTGGAGATGTAGCCTCTTAGAGGGAACCTTGGAATTATCTAATATGATTTCACTTCAATCATAATGCGAATGAGTTCACTCAAATATCGGTAGGGACAATAGGTACTGTCCATATGCAAACTTACATCCTTGGGCTCATTATGTCATGGACATTATACTGTAATGGAACACAAACATAATAAATAAAGTATCTGTTCAATCTCCTGTGTGAGGTTATACCACATTAGCAGGCCTGCTTGCTCTTTGGTTGCCACCCTTCAATGTATGTGTGAATGTGTGTGTTTGTGTGTGTGTGTGTGTGTGTGTGTGTGTGTGTCTGTGTGTGTGTGTGTGTGTGTGTGTGTGTGTGTCTCTGTGTGTGTGTGTGTGTGTGTGTGTGTGTGTGTCTCTGTGTGTGTGTGTGTGTGTGTGTGTGTGTGTGTCTGTGTGTGTGTGTCTGTGTGTGTGTGTGTGTGTGTACATTTGTGCATAAGTGTGAAGGGATGACGAGACAAAGGGGCATCAGTGACATTTCTGGTGTGTAGTCATGCTTGTTCTATGTCACACCAATGCCAGAAAAGTAATTTGCACAGAGTGTGTATGCTCACGTGAGTGTGTGTTTGTCATGTGTGTTTTTCTGTGGTTGCGTGGTTCTGATTAATTCACTGTTCCCGTGGAGAAACTTGGTTCTCCTAATTATACAGCTAAAAACATGTGAATACATTCACATCTAAAGGAAACAATGTAAAGTACATGAGCCTGTGTCACAAAATAATCAGGTTTTTAATATCACACCAGTGTACAAATGTCTTAATTTTAAGGTGCATGTGAGTCATAACTGAAACATAAAAATATTATTTCACAAAATGCAACAAGTCTCATTCTGTCACCAGCTATTGAACAATGTCTGAATCTGCTGTTTGTGTTCATTTAACCTTAACAGCTGTGGTTGGCTGCTAATTGAATTGCTCTTAGTCACACACACACACAAATACACACCAACACAAACACAAAGACTGGCTGCTCCATCAGCTTGGTGGGGGTGTTTCTAGGGAATCAGCGCTGGGTAATTTGTTGTTTCCTTTCTCGAGCAGAGCGGAGGATTGCGAGACTGAAAAGTGAATGACATCAGTGCACTGAGACTGATTATGGATAATAGGGTGTTAGCAGCATGAGCTGCTGGTGCAGAGAGAGAGAGAGAGAGAGAGAGAGAGAGAGAGAGAGAGAGAATGTGTGGCAGTAAGAGGGGTCTATATTGGCGATGTGAGTCTGCAGTGAAGCATTCTGGGGCTTCGTGTTACAGGCCTTATAAGGGCCAGGGCCCCTGTGTCTCTGCTCGCCTCGGCTATTCTTAGGCTGTCTGTCCCTCACCCTCAGCAACCCTTCAGGCAAGACACTCTTCTCCATCTTAATACTGAGTTTATTGTTGATTTTTGCGAGTTTCCACTTTGTGATTGGAGGTTTGTTGGGAGAGCTTTTGATTCCAGTAAAAGTTTGAGGACGTTATTCAGCCATGTCTCAGCTTGACTCTGTGCTTTCTCTGTGTGTGTGTGTGTGTGTGTCTTTCTGCACACGTGTGTATTTGTGTGCACAAATGCATGCCTGTGTGTGTGTATGTGTGTGTCTGTATTTGTGTGTGTGTGTGTCACAGAGGTTCCACAGCACCTGACCCACCCACCCACCACCACCACCACCACCACCACCCCAGGGTGTTTGTCCTGAGTGCTGGGAGCAGACGGGGATAGACGGTAGTGAAGCCAGGGCTGACGGACGGAGGAGGCGCCGGCTGGGACAAAAAGGATAGCAGGGGAGGAACGGAGAACAAGGGCACGCCGAGCAGGAGGAGAAAACCACACAGCCAGCAGGAGTTGCTAGCAGGAGGAGTGTTGACATTTAACCGAAGATGAGTACGTACACAGTGACTCTGAATGGCCCTGCTCCATGGGGCTTCAGACTACAGGGAGGAAAGGACTTCAACATGCCACTCACCATCTCCAGGGTAAGGACAGAGTCACCCTCACAGGCTCAGATGTGTTGTGACAAAGCAACTTACAAGAAAAAGAAAAAGCAACAAGTGGTGTGACACTGACAAAATAACTCACAAACAAGGGCAAAGTGATAATCTGCTGTGCACCGGTATTGTCACGTTAGGATGAAATATGACATAATAGTGCACCCATGATTTTAAATTGAAACTTCAGCACTCACCATGGTACACTGACTGTCTGACTTTGTCAAACTGATCTACTCAAAGATAATAAAAACCAACATACACATGCACAGTAATGTAAACACAGACCTCATCACGCCTAACTCGTCCCTCTAACTTCAAAAAGCTTCACCTTCATCACATTTCCTGCTTGAAGCGTCATGTTGATGATTTGCAGGTGAAAAAATGTGTAGGTGTCTCAGAAAAAACCACATTATGTTGAAAAGTTTATGTTTTTTTTTTAGACATCTAGGTTATATCTAACTACTGCTTCAACTTTTAAATGACTGAAAGTGAAGCAGGTTTATAAATGGACCTCCTACACAGTAAGATACAGTCCCTCAAACAATTAAATTTGACCTAGATGAGTGAAAACTGTCAATTGTCCAAGCAAATTTGGCTCAGTTTCAATTGGAAATCACCTTTTCACCTGGTTTGACTTTAATGTGTTTGCAAGTTCTCGGCTTCATCAAGCTCATGCCTATGCATGTGCATATGCGTGTGATATGTGTGTGCGCAAGTGTGATTTGTATGTGCGTGTGAGCAGTGGCTGTACAGTGGCCAGTTATGTAATGTTGCTGTACATGATGATGGCAGGGAGGCTCAGATGTAATCTCCAGAGAGATTTCCAGAATAGACCAGCGGTGGAAGGACAGGAATACTTTCACTGGAGTGGAGGAGCTGCTGCTGCATTAGTTAACTTTTACTGCTGTTAGTTTTCATTAAAATTACACTTGGAACAAAAAAAGAGTAAAACTGATACTTTGATTACTTTACATACAAGCTCAAATCTCTCCCCTCTTCCCCTCTAAATTTAACCTTGAAATATCGTAATCAACTAAAGTCACTAAAGTGGAATTCTTTTTTAGCACAGCAGAGTCAAAGAGTGATTATTGAGGTTTTTGAGACTGATTGATTTATTTTAACTGTCAAGTCTCTTAAAAACTAAAGTTAAAGACTTGTTTCTACTCTTGCAAATGACAGCAGACAAAAATATAAGTACTCTATTTTCTTATGTGTGCCATAAAACATCCTCCACCCTCAGTTTAGATAAAGAAGATATTCTTGAATATAATAAGAGTGCAAGAAAACTCGGGGCAAATAAAGTTCAGTCTACAAATAACAACAGCAGATTAGTTTTAACTTCTGCAGCAGATAGACAGGGTCTCTCTCTCTCTCTCTCTCTCTCTCTCTCTCTGTCTCTCCCTCTGGCAGCGTTGCTGGTGTATTTACAGCATTTCCTTTAAATAGCATGGGAGGAGATGTGGATGGATGGAGAGAGGTGAGCGAGGAAGCTAATGGCAGCTTGTGTTACCTTCAGTAAGCTTTATTCCTCGCTTATGGTCAGTTTCAGCTTTCGGAGCGGCTCCTGAGTGGACACCGTCACCGTGGAGGAACGGGTGGATGGATGGATGGACAGATGGAGGGTTGATAGAAAGGAAAGGAATGAGGTACAGAGGAGATGGTGTTTACCTGAGTTAGAACAGGGTGGATATTAACTCTCCACCTCCAGCTCCTCACTCCTCAGTCCTGCCTGATGCTCAGCTTTATTATATTGTTAGCTGTGCTATATATGTGCTATATAGCTGTGTGGAGCTGTGGATCAATATAATATACTCTTATATTGTGTTGATCCACAGCTGTTAGTTTATTGTCTTCTGGTCCCAGTCTTAGGCAACTATAGGGGAAGTTTGATGCGAGTCTGGTATGACATTGTGTCACTGGATTTGTATTCATCCTACGGTCATGAAGGACTCTGGCAGGTTAACATAAAACACTTCAGCTTGACGTGACAACTCCGGGTGCTGTTACAGTTTGACGTAACTCAACCGCGGTTTGGATGTCAGCCTACTTTTGCCAAGAACTAAGAAAGGAAAGAGGAATGAAGACGGTGAATTCCTTACATCTTGTTAGTCACATTTAAACGCCGGCCATGAAATATGTGACAAAATCAAACTGGTTTGCTCCTGTCCAGTGATTTTACATGAGTATAATCGAGAGTGTGAGAGAAAGAGTGTCGTAGTTGCAGTGATGAAAAGCTGCTAAAATACAGTAGCACCCCTAATCCTAACTCTCAATATGTGTCATCCATGTCACTTCAGTCTATTTACATACTCTCATGAGGCTGAGATATTTCTAAGTGAATGAAAACAGCTCTCCGGTCTCTGATTGGCTGCTGTCATGAGCTTGTGCACGTGGGAAAAGTGAGAAAATATCCAGACTGACTGTGTCTTTTTATGGACTGATCTAATGCATTTCGACACACTATAAAACGTGCAAGAAACACAAGAAAAATGTCCTTGCTCAAACTCCAACACTGTCCAAGGTAGCGCTGCTCTGTCTCTCTGTCTTTCTTCTCCATCTTCTGTTTGTCATCCAGCACATCTGAAGTATTTGATTCATATGAAAACATGCATGGCAGAGTGCTCGGGTGGTGTCATGTGTCTACATGTGTGTTTGATTACACAGAGGCCACCGTGCTGAAATCACGTTATCACCTTGCTGCTGTAACTTTGCTTTCTACACACACGCACACGCGCGCACACACACACACACACACACACACACATAATGACTGGAATTAAAATACTAAAGAAAGAAACACGTGCAAATAGCAAACACCAAGAAGGAGAGAGTTTGACAGGGGGAACAAAGACGAGTGACAGTGTGAGAAAAGCCCAACTGAGAGAAATGGAGACAAATAAAAGAGAAATGTGGTTTGTAGAGAGGAACACTATTATTAATGTAAACAGAAAAAAGGGATAAGATCAAGGAAGTCGTGAATGAATGTCAGCAGCAGGTGTGTGGGAGGGGTGTGGTGTGTGTGTGTGTTTGGGGGACGGCAGTGGGGGCTCAGCTGGGTCAATCACAGTCAAGCCGCAGGCATCAACAGCGCTGCTTATTTTTAACTCTAACGAGTTGACTGTAAGCCTAGACCCAGTACTGTATGCCCCAGGCCTCAGAGCTCAGTTCAAACCTCCTCTGTGTGTAGTTTAACCACTGAAGTCTGGCTTTGCAGCACAGCCAGCAGAGTAACTAGTCAGCTGAAGGTCAATAAAACATGGATGGCTATTGAAAAGAAGTGTAAAAAAAAAAGAAAAAGTTTTTAGTTTAGTTTCTCAATCCTTTTACTTTATATCCCCGTCCTCATCCTGTTTTAGCCTGTACACCATTTTCACCTTCTCAATCCACATTAGAAATAAGATAATTCTGTCCTGCACATGCTATGGCTGTTTTAAAAGAACTCTCGCTGCTTTTCTGCCCATCCATCTCACTGATAAAGAGCCGTATTTGCTGCGGTGGAGACTGATTAGACTGTGAGATAAAATGTGGTTCCACTCTGCCCATCACCCAAACACTGAAACTTTTATCCAGGCACTTCACATGCAGATCGGATGGATTAGTTTATTTTGCTTCATCAACTTTTTTTCTTCTTTACCTTTAAGCTTCTTTCACTGAGCTGCTACATTCACAGCATAAGTGCTACGCGGAGTGACTCAAAGATGAAATCACACGTCAGCTGAGCTGTAAAGCTGTTTTGACCTGGAGTTTCAGGCAAAAATGAACAGTCAAATTAACAAATTTCATTTAAATTTTTCTGATATGCATCGAACACTCTTAGGTTTTTCATTCACATCCACTTTGGGGAACTAATCCAGCATCCACAAATATTTACTCACTCTGTAACATATTTTTGTGTTTGTGTAAGTGCGGTTTAGCTTGCGTGTTTCCTGAGGAATCTGTGTCAGTGGTCCTTGTGTGACCTGCCCTGTTGACCCCCCTCCATAGATAACTCCGGGCAGCAAGGCGGCGGGCGGCAGCCTGACCCAGGGCGACATCATCTCAGCCATTGATGGGGTTAGCACTGATGGGATGACGCACCTGGAGGCCCAGAACAAGATCAAGTCTGCCACCACCAAACTGGTGCTCACCATGCAGAAGTAAACAAGCAGCACACTTACACCGAAAACACCCGTCCACACAAACTTCAGTAGATGATGCAGAGGGAACTTTCAAGGTCCTGGTGCTGGATAATGTTAACCTCAGACAGAAAAGGATGTGTGATAAATCAGTGTCTTCAAAATAGCCACAAATGCTGCTTCACACATGTTTTAAGACACATACAAATACAAAAAAAGTTTAAGCAACTTTTAACCCTCTGGAAAATCCAGAATATACTGTAAAAATATGCAAATATATTTCATTTTTAAAGTTTTACTGCTGGACACATTCTCAGTAAAGTTACCAGTTTCATACTGGTCAACAATTGGCTCCTAAACTACTTGTGATGTCACAAAATCTTATTTGCATACACAAGCTAAACTCAGATTTAATGTGAGAACAGAAAAAACTTTCCCCCCCTCAACAGATGAATGTGAAAACAGTCCTCTAGTGTCACACATCACTCTGCTGTGAATACAAAAAAAAGCACCTAGGAACAATTCATTTCAAAGGCCATAATACTTTGTTGTCTAATCTACAGATCAAGACGCCCTGCACCAGTTCCCACAGCAACTCCAAGAATGGACTCACCCATGCCAGTCATCCCCCACCAGAAGGTATAAACACCCACAGTGTCCTCAAGTAAACACATAGAAAACATCAACACACACAAAATACCACTTATCCATACAACCATAATATGTATGTCTGCATACTTGTGCATATTTCTACATGCGTCTGTCATTCCTGTTCTGTATTCTTGTCCTGTGTTTGTGAGAACATCATCTTTACAACTCTTTAATGGTGCCACCAGGCAGTGTCCTGCTGCCCTCTAGTGTAAAATATTCTCAGTGCAACTGCAGGGAGTCCTGTGCAGAGGTCAGAGGTCAGCAAACCACAAACACAAATCACATGACAGGAAAATTAGGAAAACACAAGCTGTTCCCTTAAGTCTCATTTAACTATATAGCTTTCTATCTACAATATCTGGACCTCCTCCTGTCTTTTAGGAAGTTAGAAAAGATGAAAGGGGAGATCAGGCCTTTCGGAGAAGTTAAAATGAAAATGTCAGTGTCCTATGAAATTTTCCAGGATAAAAAGCCCTCCGAAAGGAATGACTTCCAAGTGCTTAAAAAAGATCCAGAGCTCCTCTCGACCCCGGTCAAGGTTCCTGCCTCTTCTGCAGCAGCTGCCATATCTCCACCAGGTCAACGGGGGCAGTACAATTCCCCGATCGGCCTCTACTCTCCTGAAACTCTCAAAGAAATGATGCTGATGCAGGGCAAGTTAGGAGAAGGGTCGGCAGCTGCCGGGGGAGTTTCATCGCTGGGGTAGGTTACCAAAAGGACATTTAACCTCCGGTTATGTAACACTGAGAGGAGGTGATTTAACTCCTTCAGGGATCACCCCTAAAACCAACACACCCACAAACTAATGTAAGAAAATTTAACATTCACTCTAGAGGAGTGGAGTCACGCCTTTGTTTAACCTCACATTAACAGGACCATGATGAGAAAATATACTCAGAACTTTCCATCGCAATCCCAACATTCATTCCTCTCACACGTGGCACTATTTTGGGAGCGTACACACAAACATACCTGGACTGCATCCAGGTAACAGAATAGCAAGAGATCAGACTACAGGGTCATTTGATGATCTTTATTACAGGCAGATCTGAGAGACTGAACTAAAGGTCGAGTGGCCTCAGCGCCCCATTCAAATGTTTTCTGATGCTGTCAAATTCGACTGAAATTCAAGTCGTCATGGTTGGAAGACGATATAAATGAGCCTCTTGGTTTCATCAGTTCTTGTGAATGGTACAGACCCATGTATTGTGAAATAAAAATGAAACTGGGAAGATGATGTTGCAAAAAGGAAATCTTTTTAAAGAACTCTTTTTTGCTGTTTCAGCTCCCTGATTTCCCTTTTTGTGGCTTTTTATCTTCGAGCAAACATGTCTCCCCCCGTCCTCAGTTGCTGATGGGAACACAAAGCCCAGAGAAGAGTACTTATTCCTGTCTTGCCTGGGGAAGCAGAGACTTGCTTGTAAAGCCTTTTTTTTGTGGGTTGAATTTGCTGTTGAGGTTACAGGAAGGTGAAAATTTGTAACTACGGCTGAGTTAACGTGAGGCAAAAGCATGAATACTCTGAGGTTATTAGAAGTCAAATGTCAAGTGACGTTTTCAAAACTCACAAAACTCATTTAGATTCAGTTTTCTGTCATAAAACTAAGAATAGCAGAGAATATTTGCGAATGAAAAGCTGGAGCCAGTGATATTTTTGGCCATTTTTGCCTTTATTTTCTAACTTCCTCATCTGGATGTTTAAAAATACACCACACATATTTTGTTTTATTTTTAAATAGGGCTCAGTTACTTCCTAAAACAGCTGGGCACTGTTATTTTAGTAGATGTTACTCAGACAGGAGTAAGTAGAGCATTTGTTGTGGACTATTTTCAGCTGTGGATTAATACACATTTGGAGCTGTGGGAAGACTGACTCAAAATACAGTACAGTGCCCATATTCATCATAATGTAGGATCTAGCTTTGATGCTCGCCTCTCTTCCATTCCCCTACAGCGCCAGCAGTGTGCAACACTAGCTAACGTTAGCATAGAAATGGAGTCAGCGACTGTCAACACGAAGGTACAAAAAAAAAAAAAAAATTTTAAGTAGTGAATCCCACCTGGCCAAACAGAAATGTGACCAAAACTATAGTCAACATGGGGTCAAACTATAGTCTTGCAAAGCCAGACCTATCTTAACACTTTGTTTTAGCGCTATGCTAGTGCCGGAGACTCATATATAGTCTAAAATATAGTTTATAGTCAAACTATAATAGTCCAACTTTAGTTACCTCATCTATCAACATGATGCCGGTCAGTAACGTTCACTCTCATGTATGTCATGTTACTGTTTTGGATTCTGGCTGATGCCTATCTACGGAGCGCGAGCACATGCGCAAGCATCAGGATGCTGACTGCAGTTCAGTTAACGGCCACCGGTATCATTAATAACAAGGACTTTCTGAATGTTACATATAAGACTTTTAGGTTGTGGCCTCTGGTGAGGGAAATCTCCTCAGTGGGATGGCATGAGTTTGGGTGAAGTCATGGAATACTTGTGGAGGTTAATTAAAGGCGTAATCTGCCTGGCCTCTGACATATAACATCCAGGTATCAGTCTCCACTAATGTGTTCCCCCTCTGGAGCTGAGCTGCTTTACAGTAAGGGCCAAGGGTAAGTCAGGTGTCAGGAAACGTGCTCCAGAAACGACCGCAGGACGATGACGGCAAGTACCATGCCAACGGCCCCACCTCACCCGGTACATGGAGACTCTGATTCCTTTGGCACACACACTCACACACACACACACACACACACACACACACACAGGAGAGAGCAGCTGTTGTACATGGTCATGGAATGTTCCGCTCCGATTACACACCATCATCCTGAATCCCCTGAATGCCTCTTTTCCAAACCTGAGATAAGACCCCCCCTGTCTGTAGGGAGATGTCTCACATGTGAGGTGCTGCCGAGCACGTTCCACCTCACCTACTGTACCCTGAACACATCTGTGTACTGTATGGAGAGCCAAAGTCATGACACTAGATCCAGGTTTTCCTCCTGAAAAAAGCCTGTTCCTGGACTTTACTTTCCATATTTTGAGACAAATCAGCATCGAATACAGCACTAGGTCGATATAAATAAAACTCTTATTTCTAAATTTTTTTTTTCAAAATTACTAATTGTAATTTCTGCTGTTTCCAATAAAAAACAAATACTGAATAAACTAAAACTAAAACTATTATATCATTTTTCGAAGAACTACAGCCCTTTTCTAAACATACTGGTTGAAACAAGCCACACGACATATACTGCTGAGAAAGATGCCAAGGCTGTAAATTTTAATTATAAAATCTCAATGGGATTTTGAATGAGGTTTTCTCACCTCTGGAAGTTCCAGTTTCACTTTGGTTCCCTATTGACGCATTGGTCGGCTGATTTATGTGTTGCACTCTCAAGCACCGCCGCCATTACTGCAGTGGCTGCGTGACGATCAACACATTTCACTGAGTTATTGACTCCTAAAGTGATAGTTTAAAACAAACATTAAGATACGTTCTCTTTTCGATCTCCACTGTCTGGATGTGTAAGTGCAGGAATGACTTAGAAGAAGTTCACGATTTACTAATCAGGAACACATGATAGTCAGATTTCGTAGATTAAAAGGTGAAATCCTGCAGTGCTGCAGTAATGGCAGCTTCTCTACTTCTGCCCGGATTCGTGGCTGCAGTTCTGACATAAGTGGATCAGGTGGTTCGTGTTGTGTTTGTGTATATTTGTGTCTGTTCTGTGCTAAATGTGTCTCTGCAGACCACCCCCCTCCTGCCCTGTGTCATGTGATTGAGACACTTCTGCCCTTGTCAGTCACTCCTGATGATGCAGGGGAAGCTGGGAAATATAGCCATTGCTATTCTTACCTTTACATGGGATTACAGGATAGCACTGATATTTGGATAGTTTCCCACAGACACACGGTGCCATTGTTATCACCAAAATACCACTGGTGATTCATTACATTCTCTCCCTCTCTGTCTGCCTCTGTCTGTCCGTCCGTCCCTCTCTGGTGTGTTTCAGGTTATCGCAAACACAGCTGCAAAGTCAGTACCGTCACATTTGCCAGTATTCAATGTGCATGAAGTATGCCTCGGTAGAGAGAGTATACGTTTTTAGAGATCTGTCGCTAGTGATTCTGGTGTGAAGTGAAGTTGTGTCCAACATGGATTCATGTGTGTGAAGCTTCCATGTAACTGTAACAGCATATTGCGTGTGCTGGTCATTTGTTTCTTCGGGTAACGGCAACATGTTATTAACAGCACCTGGTCCCCTGAAGTGAAAAGTAAAAGTACATCTACTCAAGTACTGTACCTCAGTACGGTTTAAAGGTGCTACTTCACTTGAGTAAACTGTGTGAGACTTCCTACTTTTCCTTCACAACATTTCACTCATTCGTCTAAATCGATAAAGATTTTACAAAACATATTTTACGAAATCATAGTTTATAAACTGAAAATTAAACTACCTACAATTACAGTATATGGAGTAGGTTGATTTTAACATATGTAGAGTAACATACATATTAATACAGTTTAAAGGAAGCAAAATGAATGCTTTTATTTTGAATACTTGAATATATTTAATACCAATACTTGATGATATGTTTTTCACCTCTGCTTGTCCTCTTTAGCTTTCATATTCATTGTGTGAATATGAATCTATTTACAGTTCATACTGTGAATAAATGCATGAGCAGTAGTGTGTATCAGTAAAACGTCCTCTGCGCCGTGTGAATGTCATTATGCATCATTTGAAAAAAAAATGCAGATAATGATCTGTCCAGTGGTCCTGTCAGTCTGGCCTGGTGGTTGTTGTGATAAATTAGCATGTTTGGTTTTCTTTGGACTGGTGTGTCAGCTTTATCGCTGTTTTCCTTTAGTAAGTGTTAAGTAGTTGTTAAGCTGTGAATCAGGTTGGATTAAGCCTCTGTCCCAGCTCCACACTACACAGTGATGCTAAACAGGATGCATTATGTACTAATACATTATATGTTAGTATATTTTTTTTATTTTAAAAGTTAGCATACAACAAAATACATATTGTGCCCATTCACCGCTCCTATCCCTCCATCCACTAGAGGGTGCCTTCGTCAGCATTACTGCCATCTGCCATCTTTTTTTTTTTAAGTCTAGATTGTTTTGTTTTCAGTTTTTCTATTATTCTCATTGTTGTCTCGGAAAATAATCTGCATCCTTGAGGGAAAAAAGTAACTTTAAATACACTGAATTTTAAGAGTTTTCTAGTAGGCACACCCTTCAACCTCAAAAAATGCCTAAAATGTGTTTGTAGTATGGAACTGGGACATAGTTGAAGTATAGTGTGATGTGCATTTGCTGTGAGTAGGTGAATACAGAGAGTACAAAAAGTTAATATTGAGCGGCACAAATGCCCCCCCTGTCTGTCAGTTGCATTACTTCACGCTGACCCAGTTTCCTCCCTTCACTTTGGTGCTTTCTCTGTCATTTCTCTCCTCTCAAATTCCCTTCTCCTCCCCCTGGCTGTTAACCCTCTCATCTTCACCCCTGCACCTGAAACCTCCTCTTCGACCCACTGACCTCTGACCCCTCCCCCCTCCCTCTGACACTGACAGTGTGGAGTACACTCCCAGCTTCAACCCCATTGCTCTGAAAGACTCAGCCCTGTCCACCCACAAGCCCATTGAGGTGAGGGGTCCGGGTGGAAAGGCCACCATCGTTCACGCCCAGTACAACACACCAATCAGCATGTACTCACAGGATGCCATAATGGACGCCATCGCAGGCCAGTCGCAGGCCAAGGGACACGACAGGTGAGGTCACACAACCAAACTAACCTCCTCTCCAGTATCTTAGGCGCTCTCTCCACTCAAGCACCTGACAACACATCACACTGATCAAAGCGGCTAGTGTGCCGAAAAATTAAAGCGTTGGTTCACCCAAATTACAACAACAAAATAATCCATTCTTTCACACATGGGCTGCTACAGCATGTAGTCAAGCAGAGAGTTTTGGACCTCTTTGTCTAGGTTTTATCTTTGTCTAAGATTTGTGCCTCCACCCTCAATATAATGTTGGTAAAAGAAATGTCTCGTAGATACTTACAGCACTGAAAATCTATGTATAAAAAAAATTTGCAATGACACATCGTTCCAGAAACAGTATCCTGGCCTCTCTCTTTCTATCTCTCTCTCTCTCTCTCTCATTCCAGTTTTTTTGGGTGTCCAATATTTTGAAAGTAAAAGTCCTGTTTAGTTTTTGTATAGTAGGTGTTAAATGCAGCAGTTCCAAGTATGTGATCCTTAAAGAAAAGTCTAGCTACAAAAATCTAAAACAAAACAAACAACAAACAAAAGTTATTAACAAAATTAGCTGAGCTCATTGGTATTGTAGTTTTTTTTGGAGCCATTCACTGCCCCAAACTGATTATTAATGTATTATTATTAATAATGTATTACTGATTATTATGAGTATTTAAATAAAGTGAATATTAATTAAAACTGATGGTCATAACCTAAATCTTTAGTTTCATTAAATTATCCAGGAGACTCAGGGAATCCAGGATCCTTCCTGGACCAGCAGCTCAAATCTTGCAGATGGGTATCTCACAAGCTCTGCAAAAAAAAAAAAAAAAAAAAAAAGGAAGAATTTTTTTTCTAATTTGGTTGAACCAACCCTTTAAGATACTTTGCCTGAGAAGCCCAAACAAAAAGCAGCTTTTAAACGTATAGAATACCTTGAGCTGCTACAACTCGGATGTCTACTCTACTGTACGTATGGCCGGGCTTTTCCTTGTTGTCCGTGTTCGTGCCACGTACTCCTCCCTGCCTTTCACCCACTTTCCTCTGCTCATTCCATCCACAACCAACCAACCACACCTGTGCTGTCCTGCACCCATCCCTTCCCATCTTCCCTTCCCGGTTGTGACCCCAGTGAGGAGGCGGGCTCCCCCCTGGCGTAAGTACAGCAGCGCTCCTTTTCCATCCTGCCTCGCCTCATACATGTGTCTCCTTCGTCTCATGATTTCATAACAGCTTGTGCATTGCTCCATATGTCACATACACTAATATCAAACTGAAAATGTTCCTCGGCATCTATTTATCTATTTTAATGTGTTCATGTTTTTACATCTGTTCCTGACGTGTTACGTGTCAAACCAAGGTGTTTGATGAATAAACTCACTAACCACAAGGGCATCATGGACTGGTTATATGTGTAGAAGTACTTAGAAGTACTTTGGTCAGAGTGTGAGAGTGCAAGTCATGTTTGGGTCCTTTTTGGAGTCCTCAGCTGAAGAAAAAGCAGCCAACAGCATCAAAGCCTGAGGAACCTGATGGGATTTCATGGCATGGGAATGTTCTGAGTATCGAATCACAGGTTTTCAAACAACTACTACCCGATCAGTATTGACTGACTTTTCTAACACTCATTAAAGAATGCTGAAAAAACACTATTCAGTTATATTGCTGTGTAAACTCACTCCAGTATTTACCATGTCCTGTACACTACTGACACCTCCCGGGATAAACCATGGGACAACACGTGTACAGTGAATGTAAACGATGAACAAACAGACTGTACTGTTTCATCTCAACAACCTCTACAGCTCTCATGTAACAATACATTGACGCTCCCTAGTGGTACTTTAAGGAAAAGACACCATGACCGGAAAGCAACACACAGACTGCAACACTCTCACGTTCACCGATATTATTGCTACAAACAAAAACCTTTGTAATTAGAATAATTCGAAAAATGCATAAACACACCATGAAATGTGAAGTTAAAATACTTGGGAGCAACTTAACATCACCTGAAAGTTGTTGCATTTCTGACCACACCAGTCATCAGTAATGATGAAGTGATGTGTGGTCAGAGGTACATCAGACTTGAAACTTGAAACTACTGCTGAAATATTAGTGCCAATATATATAATATCCTTCTACCATAAGTTAACAGGCAGGTACCATCCATTCTTTTTTATGCCCTGGAGGAAGGAAATGCAGTTTTGTCAAGTTTGAGGCTTAGGACAACTTGACCTACAGGGTAAGGGTTAGGGTTAGGGGTAAACATATTTGGTATCTTAGAAAATGCTTAACCCTTCCTGTATGTTATTAACTTTTTAATTCTCCCAGTTTGAGACACAGAATGAACATACCCAAATATACTCAGAAAAGATAGACGTAATAGAACTCTAACAGTACTCTCCACCCTGCAGTGTTCTGCCTGTCAAGGACCCTGTGGTAGACTGTGCATCTCCGGTGTACCAGGCAGTGATCAGGCCAGGAGAGGTAAACCAGGACATGTCTGAGTGGGCTCGTCGCGCTGCCAACCTGCAGTCCAAGAGCTTCAGAATGCTGGCCCACATCACTGGCACTGAATACAGTCAGTACATTGACTACTTTCTTTTTCTTCTTTATTCCATCCTGTGGCTGTCCATACTTTCTCTCTTGACCTTCTTGATACTCATCTCTGCTAATCCTCACTTCTTGTCCAAACTCAGTTATCGTCTCATTAGTGAGTCCTTAACAAGTGTCTCTCTCCATACAGTGCAAGACCCAGATGAGGAAGCCCTGCAGAAGTCGAGGTAAGGAGGAGTTGTTACAGACGCCTCACTTTTGCAGACTGCAGCACTTCAGTTTTGCATGCAACTTTTTTTCCTGGATACATAATAATAACACTTGCTCATGTCCAACATTTTGCAATCTGCTCATTTGCTCTTCATTAGATGAGAAAATCGAAGTCACTCTCATGTCTGTACTGTAATTAAGCTACGAGACTGTGCTCCCATAGGTCGTTTGTGCAAGCAGCTTGTCACGACCCATAGTTAACGCTTTATTAAGTGACATCTAGTGGTTGTGTGAGACAGCATCAGTCTATCCAGCAAATGCCCCAAAACAACATGTTCATATTCAAGTGACAAAGATAATATCTCTCAAATATTAGCATTACATTTGAACCACTGTGGTATTTTGCCAAATACCTTCAGAGCAACGCTAAGTGTTTTTCATCTCCCGTTGGTTTTTCAAACATTGACAGGTAATTATTTTTCAGGGAAATGAATGCTTACCATTGTGACTCAAATGCAAATACATGAGACAAACTGGGGCTACTCGAGCTTGCTAATTAACTGTTGTGTCTTGTTTGCTGATAGAATCATTTTATGTCAAGACAAAGCCAGGCTAGCTGCCCGCCCCATTTCCAGGCCTTACGCTAAGATAAAAATCTACCAGCTTTATGTGTACTGTACAGACATGAGAGTGCTATCAATCTTCTCATGGAACTCTTGGCAAGAGAGCAAATAAGTATAGCTACTCCAAAATGCTGAGTGATTCTTTTAAAAGAGTAATTAATTGATTACCTGATGTAAGAGTCTTGTCCTTCCTTCCTCACCATCAGGGAGAAGTTTGAGTCCGAGGTGAAAGGGCCTCGCTTTGCCAAGCTGAAGAACTGGCACCACGGACTGTCTGCACAGATCCTCAACATCCAGGAATAAAGAGGAACAGGAGAGAAGAGAGAGAGAGGCAGAGAGGAGGACGGCGACATGTATAGGAGGACATGGACAAAAGCACAGGAGTTAACAGGAAGTGGGGATAAATTATGGAGGAAAAAAAAGGAGCAGCAGGAGGAGAAAACTCCTCAGCGATGTGAGATAGTGTCGTAGACTAGATTAGTAGAATGTGAGGTACTAACTGTTAGTGTGAGAATGCTCTGTGTTCATAAGCTCAAGATTACCTGTCAAATGTATCTGTCCACTGCTAAGACCTGATGTCGCATTTGGGTTCTTCTTGTCTTTCTTTGTTCCCTGTTTGTTTGGGTTCTGTCTCTCTTACATGAAAGGGAAATTGTACAAAAAATAACAAGTATTCAAGTGAAAATGCAGAACTGATGTTTCTTTTATGTCCCCAGTACATAAACCGCATACACAAACGTAGGAACTCTAACACAATCAGCATGCTTGTGAGAAGGCACACATGGACAAACACACACACACATAGAGGTTTATCTACATGCACATATACAATATGTAAAAAAAAATGCACTCAAAAATGTACTGATATCAATGTGAATAAATGTTTTCTTAAAACTATAGAGCTGAGTGAACTGTTGCAAACCCACAAATGAAATGATCGTGTCGCCCTCTGTCTTGGAAATCAAAACTGGAGGCATGGTGCAGTGTCATGATTGATAGAAACATTCCTCAATAAATGAGTCACATTTCCTGTCACTGCTAGTGCCACTGGGATACCAGATGGGCTGTTTTGACTTTGCAAATCAGAGTGTCATTCAAAAGGAGCATCTGATAGCTTTTGACAGGATAATATGATTGCATATTAGCTGGTGGCACCATGGACAGTGACATAGTTATTGTGGCAGGGGGGACAAAGCCTCAAATATACCCTGCATGAGGAGCTGAATATTACTGCTGCTGCATTCTCAGTTTGTCTCTGTTAAATGAATGTGTGACACAAAAGAAGGACATTTTTGATGATGGAGCAGATGAGTTGGACATTCTACCTCTGAGGATTTGATTCATCATCATCATCATCAACCTTTATCTATTGTCTTGGGAATACATTGAGGAACAAACAAAACAAACAAAAACATTAAGATTTCAAAGATTTGAAAGCATTTTCTAAATTGTCCTAATGTTATCAGGGAATTGATATTTAGTGTGCGTTGTAGGTTATCACATGAGTTTTGAGCACAAAATCGATAAGCAGACTTTCCAAATTCAGGGAATATGCAGTGTGATCCAGTCTTGACAGCGTGTTTGATTCAATAGAATTAGCCAACAATATAAAATCATGTCATCTGCATATAAATGAACGTTACAGTTATTTAACGATCAGGTAACATAATGATATAAATTGTGAAAAGGACAGGACCTAAAATTGAACACTGAAGCTGATTGAACATCACCTGTTTGCATCCATAAGCAATCGGGTCACAACCGATATTCAGTAGGTTTTGTAAGACGCTTTTGACAAGTCGATGAACAAAGCAGCACAATGCTTCTTTTAATCCACCGCAGTCACAATATCATTTAAAATTAAATGTTTACTGTATACCTCCAGCAGACACATGGAAACATTAGCATCAATTTTGAGTCATGTTTCTGGCCATCTGTCAAATGTTAGTGTCCCCACCAACTCCTGAGGGACATATCTGGCATTTAGCTAACTAGCTTATATATGTTTGACTTTATTTAGCTTGAAGTCAGCTGCTTTGCTCAGCTACTTTTCAAAAACTTTGTCTGCATGCCATTTGGTGCAGGATTTTTAGATATTTTTTTTTGCTAAAAACAGTTGCCTGCTGGACATGGAAATGACCCTGCTGAGAACAGTGAGACCAAAACAGTGAAGTTGCAGACTGGAAAACCAAATCAATGAGCTGAAAGATACTAAACTGCTCTGTAAATCTGAAGGGAATAGCAAAATTGAGAAATAATTCTGTATGGGTTTGGCACCACTAGCCATTTGACCCATTATTATAATATAAAAATATGGATTAGTGCAGCTTTAAGTCATAGAAATGGGGATTTGAGACTTATAGGACATGGCTGCCATGATGTTTTACTTCCTTAATACCTGACTCCCTACACACTTGACTTGAACCACTGAAAGGACTTGTTCTCAGGTATGTAAAAAAAAACAAAAAAAACACAACTTGAAATGAAAAGCGTTCAAATTCTGTGCATTTTAATGGTCAGCACTCATGACTTGCAATTTGCTTATGAGGATTCTTAACTTGACTTGGATTTGCCCTCTAAAAAGCTTCAGCTCTTCAAGTGATGATTTTTACAGCTTATAATTTGACCAATTATAGTCTGAATAGTCTTTTACATTCTAACCAAACCATCGTTACAGCCACAATGCTGCGTCATGATGTCAAATTTCTTGTGATCACCAGAGGGCAGTACGATTCTGAACATTCAAAGACCCAAAAGACTAGACGTCCTCCTCCATGCAACAGTAATACAGCACTTCATGGCTCAGTGAACTCCAGATAAATCACTTTACCCTTCTCACTTTTACTTCATCAGATATATATGTATACAAGAGAAGTGCCAAGAGTATTATTACACAGCAACAGATTTTATTTTTGCCCACAATTATTTCTCTCTGCATGCTCCCTTTTGATTAAATGGAGCTATGGACATATTAAAAGCATCCACAGAATTGCTGTGCTGCTGAGTCGGCATGTTTGGCAGAAAAAGGACGAGGATGAGGAGGAGGAGGAGGAAGATGAGGAGGGCGGCAGTTGTGACTCATTCAGGTGGAGATGACAAAGCATTTTCTCTTCTCACACAACAATAAAAATGCTCTATTTTCTATTAATCCAATGTAATTCAGATCAGTAATGGTTTACTGACCTTACATCTTCAAAAAGCATAATGCATGAATAGAATAATACATACAACAAACTACCGATACACAATATATAAAGAACTGCATGAAATGAATGAATCACATCTTTCAGACAATCTGTGTGATGCAGTTACAGATTACATGACAAAATCTCACAAGGCATATGATGTGGAAAGAAATCCTCTTCACTTTCCTGTGCTGAAGCTCGGCTGGTTATGTAACAGTTCTCACAAGCTCAGCATCTAGAAAGGTGTGTCCACAGCAACGTGCCAATCAAAATATGCAAACAGCAAACCGGAGGCTGCGCTGAGCATGAGTGAGAATCATCAGGAGGAAGATGGATGAGAGTGGAGGGATGGCTGAGGGGCGGGGTTGCAGCATGACTTGAAAATGCTGCAGCATCCGGCCGTCTCTCCTCCTCTTCGCTCCATCTCGTGCATACCGGTCGTTCCCTCCCTCCCTCTCTCTCAGTCTGCGTGCTGTAGCCCTGCTGTGCGGTCCTCTCAGCCCTCTGTTGTAGCACCAAAGGGAGGAGGAGCCACCGGCACACACACTCACACACGCATACTCACACAGACACACACGCTCTGACATCTCACATCATCTCTTTCGCACACTCACTGTAAGCACCAGCCAAGCCAGCCAAGGCCCGTTTGGAGCAGGGGAGCCCAGCCGTCTCATCGCCCAAGATGGATGTACTGATGAAGGGGTTCTCCATGGCCAAGGAGGGAGTGGTGGCCGCCGCAGAGAAGACCAAAGCCGGCATGGAGGAGGCAGCAGCCAAGACCAAGGAAGGGGTGATGTATGTAGGTATGTAACACATCCTATCTGTGGAAAGTTGGTAAGTCTTGCGGGGAGATGCATTTATTTTATGGCGCATGTCGTTGCATCATGTGTTTTTGCACCGTTTGAGGTGGGGTCCCATGGGTGTCCATGTCTGGGACATTTTTGAGAGGGGAGCAGAACAGAGGAAGGAGGAGGAAGAGGAGGAGGAGGAAGAAGAAGGGAAAAAAGAAAGAAAGGAGGGGATGGAGTGAGGGCTGGCAGGATACTGCTGCAGGACTGGTGCAGGGCAGAGGGTGGGGGTCTGAAAGACAGAGGGACAGACAGTGTTAAATTAAATACAGCACTGAAGTCCCCTGAGACTCTGCTTATCTGCCTTTTTAAAAATTCATGATAGAGTTGACCTACATTTAGCAGAATCCCATACATTCTTTTGAGGTATATTCATATATATGTTAAAAATAAATGTATAAATTCAAAATAAAAATGTAAGTATGTGAGGACACAGTATTTAAAATAACAAAAAAATTGTGAATTTATACTTTTTAAAGAAGCTTCAGATGCTCAGATGCTGTGTGTTCCTTCTGTTGTATGCTGCACGTTTAAATTAGCTTGAGCAGCAACTGCGTCACATCTCAAGGTTACCCCGAGTGCTAGGCTTTTTAGGCCGCTTGAGAGGGGAGGGAGGGGTGGGGGTGTAAAAGTAAGAAGGTGGGTGAGGAGTCAGCGGAGTGGAAGTCTACATCGCCGTCGCTGTCGTCTGCAGTCTGTCTCTTCAGCACTTTGACTGACTGTCACACAGCAACAGCTTAATGATGATGATGGTGAGAATAGACAAAACAAAGTGTCAATGACACAAGTTGAAAGAGTGGGGGGGGGGGGTGTAGACAGGGAAAGGATCACTTGAGCACTGCAGCAATTTGCCCCCCCCCCCCCCCCACCCCTCCTCAGTCCACTGGATTTTCCTGCCAGTGCATGCTGCTTTGATGACTAACCACCTTCCTTCCTGACAGCTTTTAACCCCCCCATCCCCCACATACCCAAATACCACCAATCTCACCAACCCACCCATTCCAGGGAAAAATGGAAGGATGCAGAGATGCAGGGGAAGAGACAGAGAGAGAAAAGATGGAGAGAGAGAGAGAAAAAAGGGAGGGGTGTTATGTCAGAAAAGGCTTTGAGCTTCTGGTCTCGTGGCTCCGGGATGAACAGATGGAGGGACAGAAAGAGAGAGACAGGTGACATGTCGTGATTGGGGGTGGGGGGGTGGATGATGGAGGCAGTGGAGGGATGACACACACTAGAAAAATGGAACCTGGATGTCCCAGAGAGTACAGGGTGGTGACAAGCTCAGGTAAAGGAGGGTGGAAGAGAGATGGAGAAGGGGAGAAAGGGAAGGAAAAAGGTGGGCGGGTGGGTGGTGGGAATGCAGATCACAGGCGGAAGGAGCAGGAAAAGAAAGAGGGGATGTGATCGCTGAAGTGAAGAGGGTCGATGGCCATGATAAACCATTGTATCTGCCTGCAGCAGAGTGCATACGTCAGCATGTGACAGTATCAAGGTCTGCATGCTCGCTTTGACACACAGGCCAGACGTGGACAGACAGCAGGACGTGATTAAATGGAAATTTTTTTTTTTTTTTTTAAAATCCCTGAACACAAGCTGCCACAAAATAGCTGCAAAAATCTGGTTTTTATGATGTTTTTCTTTTAAGAAATCATCAGTTATATACAATAAAAGGGTTCTAGGTCCTAGATATTCTGCACTGATATTCAAATAAAGCTTTAGTAATTTTTCCAGAAAAGGATTTGTGCTTTAGCTGCCCTGCTATTTATTGAAAAAGATCTATTGGATTTTTTTTGGGGGGTGGGGGTGGGTTTGCCTTTTCATTCCTTATTACTTATAATTAATGCACTGTTTAAAAATATAATAAATAAAAAATTAAAATTCTTTGAGTTTATAGGAGAGATCTTTCTACAAGCCATCAGCTTGTCACCTCTGATGCACAGCTTCCTTTTTATCCGTCTCAATTCATATTATACAATTTACATTCCAGCAAACACATAAGAAATATCAAGACTGATCGGATCTTTCATTAAATATGAGACAGCCTGAGCTTTCATCTCATCAGGACTGTTAAAGCACAAATCCTCCAACGAAAGCCATATTTTTGCACATTTAATACATTATTTCATTATAGGAAAAAGCGTTCACACACTGTAATCCGTGCCATCTTCATTTATTGAGGCAAGCTTTTGATCAGGATTATCATTTATTATCAGGATTATTTCAACAATTGCTTTCTTGTTCTTATTATATGCTCTGCAGTGTCCTGCGCATCACCTTCTGCTGGAATTGTTGCAGTTATCTTTGATCATTTGCATGAAAGTCAAGTTCACATTTCATTTTTTCGTTTGCTCTGTATGATGGTGACAGACAGATCACCACAGGCTTACATACACATATTCAGGGCTCCCTCTGTTGACTGCGAGAAAGAAGCTGTGTCATTGCAGTGTGTGTGTGTGTGTGTGTGTGTGTGTGTGTGTGTGTGTGTGTGTGTGTGTGTGTGTGTGTGTGTGTGTGTGTGTGTGTATGTGTGTGTGTGTGTGTGAGAGAGAGAAAGAGAGAGAGTGTGTGTGTTGGGCTGTGCTGCAGTACTGCTCAGTACTAAGGCACGTGGCTCATGTACCACGGGGAGCGTGCGGAGAGATGGAGGGAAGCGGGAGACAGAGAGAGAACGGGTGGATGCAGGATACAGTAAATGGCAGCATCTGCATCTGCGTAAAAACTACAAAGATACAAAGACAGAACAGTGTGTGTGTGTGTGTGTGTGTGTGTGTGTGTGTGTGTGTGTGTGTTCACATGTTATTCCTCTGATATATTCTTCTTCTCCTTCCTTAGTTTCTACCTTCCTCTCATTATTCTCTTTCATCTTTCAGAGCAGATATTTCTCCCCTGCTATCCCTCACTCTGGCAGATTATATAACCACACTTTAATCTGCTTGGGATCATACTATAGTGAGCACAGGGCTGAGCAGAGAGGGAAATACAGAGGGATGCTACTGTTCACAAGATATTTCCAAAAATAATATTTCCATAAAACACAAAGTTGTCAAGTCAATTGAGCTTGATAGAACAACTTAACTGAGCTCTAAAAGCTGAAAGGGAAAGATAACAGAAAATTCAGCAATCCAGGCAGAAAAAAGAAAAAAAAAAGAAGAAAAAGGACCAAGTTATCTTTGAACACGCAGGAAAAAGCATCAGTCACACTGAGCGGACAGTGAGTGAAAGTAGGTCTTTACATGTATTTTTAGAAAGAGCGATGGATGGGAAGGTTATGTCAGAGTCTAAAGCAAACAGCACACAACAGCAGCTGAGAACTGTTCCAAAACAAACACACAAAAAAAACAAGTCTCATCACACAATTTCAGTTTCTTTGATAATCCTCAACCTGTGTGGCAATTTAAAAATGTCTTTATCAAAGTACAGGTAAAATGAACAGGTGAGAACTGTTAACGCACTGTTAAATGACATTATTATGCTGGCATAATAAGTGAAACCCTTCAATCTAATGATGGAGTTATGATATTGAGGATTAATATTATAACCAGTTTATTATCGTAATGAATAAATTTATAGCATCACCGGTCGGCTGTAACAGACACAGTTTCAGTTAACACGAATACAAAATATATTGGACAAATGTAATTTAACCAAAAAGCTAAAAAAAAAAAACTAAAAAAAATAAAACAAACAAGCAAATGTAAAATATGTTGTTTTTCTATTTAAGCAGGACACATTAGTTACATGTGAATGTACATGAATGTGATTGTAATCTCTCTCTTTGATCCACAGGCAGTAAGACAAAGGAGGGAGTTGTGTCATCAGTAAACACAGGTAAGAAAAGTCCTCGGCCACATAAACCTCACAGTGCAAACCTTGGGAAGGAAATACAGATGTTACTCTACAGCAGTTTCAGAGGTTCAGAGGTATTTTCCCGTCTGACTGTGACTGTGCCTGTGGACATAATGTACAGCTCATACAGCAAAGAAGGGAACACAGGTACCATGTCAGTATTGCTTTTGCTGAAGCACTGAGCACAGTGGATAGTTCCCCAGAAAAGCTGAGAGAAACAGGTGCGCGCGATGCTCTTTGACAGAGGTATGGAGGTTAACTAGACGTACGTTTGCCAAAACAACGAGTTAGTCTTCTTCTCTTAATCTTTGTCTTTCCTCTAACTAAACCAAATAATACTATTTAAAAACACCAGCGATGAAGCATAAGTCTTGCATCGTTTGCTGGAGGATGTGTTCGAGTGTGGCATGGGCTAATTGTTGCCTCATGTGGTTGTTTGGGGGGAAAACACCAACTACTACTGCTAATTACCAGCGGGTGATTCTGCCTTCCAGCCTCAAGGGGCAGTAATGAGACTTTTTACACCATTATGCGGCGAAGAAGAAGCAAAACTAGAAAACGTATTTGGGCAAGGACACAAATGTGAGATTTATGGGCTATTAGAAGTATTTTCAAACAGTATTTTTTGGTTTTATATGAGACTACACTTGACAAGGATGAAGACTGAATAGATTATTTTGGCATTTCTGAGACATTTCTGATTTCCAGCTAACGCCACTAGCTGTACGCTACACCCACAACTACAATCTGCGGAAATACTGTATTTAAATGGGAGTATGGCCTCAGCAAAGACCTTTTTTATCCTGGTTAACATACCACAAATATATGCAATAGTCACAAAGTAACATACAGAGCACAAAGGTCACACATTGGACCAATAGACTACCATGTGTGTGTGTGTGTGTGTGTGTGTGTGTGTGTGACTTGTCAGTGTAAGTGAGTGTGTTTCTGTCTCACCACTAACCGTCCTCCATTCTGCCTCCCAGTGGCCAACAGGACCGTGGATCAGGCCAACATTGTGGGAGACACAGCGGTTGCCGGGGCCAACGAGGTGTCACAGGCAGGCGTGGAGGGAGTCGAGAACGTCGCCGCATCGACCGGGCTGATCAACCAGGTCAGTAACCATGGCAACATGGGGTTATTGTACCAATGGCATCCATAGGATTTTAGTCATTCGCCACCAGTAGCACTAGTTTTTCAGGGATGAGAAAAGTATTACAAAAACATGTCATTGCGCAGACCAACTTCAAACCTGAAGACTCATGAGTCCAGAAGTTAAATTCTGCCTTAAACTGATACTGAATGATCTTGTGGAGACAGCTGGTTTAAGTTCTGCCACTAGATAGAGCTGTTTGTCAAAGAAATCTTATTTTCACTGTTCCCTCACTCAATGTCAATGTTGAATGTTAAAGTAACACGCATCTATCTATTCTGAACAAATGAATTAGGGCTGTAACAAACCATTAGCAGTTATACATTTGATTCATTGTTTTAACTGGAAAATGTCAACAAATATAAAAAAATAGTGAAAAATGTAGATCACAATTTACCAGAGCTCAAGGTGACATCTTCAAATTCAGCAACAGTCCAAAAACCCAAAGATATTCAGTGTAAAATGATAGAAAATCAGCAAATCTTCCCAATGTGTCATGGGTTTTTTATTTTATTTTGACTACTATCATGAACACGGGTTAAAATGATTAATCAGAAGTAAAATGACCAACATAAGCATAACACAAAAAATGGATACCGAAACCTATATGTATTTGCACTTGCAGTTTTTGCCAGGATTAAATCTAGGATCGTTGAAGTTGTACTGTGATTATACAGTTGTTTAATGGTTCGATTTAATTTGCAAGACTAAACATGTTGGCCCCCCTTCTGCTTTTATAATTTGAACTCTGTTGTCAAGCCTTCTTTTCAAATGTTAGATGAGAGAGAATCTAACATTTGTGTCTTTCATGCACGTCTTTCTGTGTCTGTGTGTGTTGCTTCCTTTGTTGAAATATTGTGGCAATGCTTCTGTGTTGTGTGTCGTTCTGTGTAGCTGTTGTTCTCACTTTGTTTATGCTGTTTGTGTCTCATCTGTGTTTCCCTGATAGGAGGAGCCTGTATACGAGGTGCCTATTGGACAGAGCAGTGTGGGGGTCATAGGTCATCCTGGGGTGGGCTGGGGTGAAGGAGAGACAAAGAGGGGGATACCCTGCATGCTACATGCACCATGTTATTAGTTTATTAGGGAACACCTGTGCAATCTAATGCAACAAACCTGCAATAAATCTGACTTTTTGTGCAGATTCATCCTGTTTTGAGGTTGGATTTACTGCAGGAACCTTGCACTGGATTACTTTACATTGCGCAGATGTATTTAATAAACTGGTAACACAGTGTATATTAGCTAATAGCCCACAACAGAGTAAGTGAGTGTCGAAAGAGAAAAGGAAGAACAGAAACCTGCTGTGATGCTTCCCAATTAAAAAGGGCAAATTTCTGCAGTGTTTTAGCTTTGGATAAAAAAAAACTTCCATTAAATAAAAGCATAAAAACATATTACATAATATCTTAAAAGCTTTTACTCTGAGTATTACAATCATTTTCTTCTGACCTCTCAGACGCTCGCTCATTCACGTGGTTTAGGCAACAATAGATACTAAAATGTCTCATTTCTAACCATGTAGCTGCTCCATGTAGCAATAAGTGACACACAAGCTCTAAGCCACATCTCCAGCACGTCAGACAAGCCAGCGAATATACAGTGTTCATGGCATGCGCCAGAATAGCTTCATGCACTGCTCAGGCTGAACAAGGCCTGTGCAGCTGGAGGTTTTATTTCACTCGTATATGCTGTAAAACTCTAATCAACTAACTGACCCCTCCTGGGAAGTGTTTAAAGCATGATAATAAGAGTAACTCAGTCAGCTGTACAGCATGGCCCTTGTAGTCTTAACTGCTTTATTATATCAGAACTGGAGAGAAACGAAAGCTAGATAGATGGCCGTTGGTGCTTTTGGCCCTCCGCCCTGCCATCGCCTCATCCTTTCATCCTCTCAGAAATCCTCCACCTCTTTTCTGTGTCTAATGTATTCTCACTCGTCCTGTTTCCTTGTACAGGGAGAGTACGGGGGAATGGAGCAAGGAGGCGAAGGAGGAGAGGTAAGAGAACAAGTCAGTGAGCTGCTGGGACTAAAGCAGGGCAGCTGCTCAGTCAGATCAAATTATAAGTGACAGTTTAGTGCAGCGTTAATAAGAATGTTTCTCACAGGTAGAAAGTAAATACATTTACTTTCTACCCGTGAGAAACATTGTGCTGCACTAACGTGTGTTGGACATGTCTCTGAGAAGTCAACTCTCAGTATATGTGCACTGGGAGATACAAATTTCCATATCATGCTTACTTAAGTTGCCTACTAGATATATTATAAATGGCTTCACGAAATCCTGCTTGTCCTATTCCCCTTCGCTGAGATTTAACGTGAACACGGAGAAACTCTTTCTCCAGATGAACTTGAAAAACAGATTTCAAACTTTGCACTAACATTATTGTGCACGGTGAAAGTCAAACGTCCAACTGAAAAGACAATAAGCAAAATACATTTTTAAGTGGAGGAAGGACTTTACAGTATCAGTCTATGTTCCAAAATCAAACCAAAGACCTATTAGTAAAACACAGAAATTGATGTTACGATACTCCAAAATTGACTGACATGTTGACAAGTACTGACTGGGACTTTAACAATCTGTAAGGGGCCATTATTTTAAGGAGTGCTTCCACTTTTGATATAGAAGTCATTTTTTTTGCTGCAATTTTTTTTAATGAACTTACAAAAACAAATCAATACTAGTTAACTGTGATTTTGTGGTGATATATTGGATCAGGTTTCCTATCTGAGCATCAAACATTTCCCTTGCTGTTTTTATTCAAATAAAGAATCTAAATAATTTCTCCACCCCTGACACATCCTTCTATCTTCTCCTTCCTTCCAGGGGTATTAGTCGTGTTCAGGACCTCCCCTGCCGTCCTCTCCAGCAGCCCCCCGCTCCCCTCGCCTCGCAGACTCCAGATGTTCAACATATTTTTTTGTGACTTTACGGAACCAAAATCAACTAAAACAGACTCTTCCGGATGCCGCACCTCAGCCCCCTAACCCCCCCTCTGGAGCCCCCCCCCCCCCTCCGTTTTACATCCCTCCCTCCCACCCCACCCCCCAGCAGCCCTCCGTCAGCTGTCTTCACCCCCCTTTTTCCTCCCTTCTCTGATCTTCTGCAGCCTGTAGCTTCTCCTCCACCGCCCGACTTACCCTCACCTCACCTGTGTGTTAGTGTCGTCCTGATATGAGCCCTGATGTTGTTACTGCCCCCACCCACGCCTACCGTTAAGGAAACCTCACGCACAAACACACACATACACACAAACAAAAAGAGACACACCTTCATTAGGCACATGCATGAAACACACACATACAGTACATACTGTAAATGCCAGCACAGACGCACACAGTGATGAGTGATAACTGCAGGAAATGAAATTTTGGTTGTGAATACAGTTAAGCCTCCGCAGTCCGCAACAATAACTCACTGTGTGACTGTGAGGCAGGGTGTGAGAGGGTGTGAGAGCTGCTGTTTGTGTGCCTGTGTGTCCATGTTTGCTTATATAGGTGTGTGCATGTGTAGCTGCTGGCGTACAAAATAAAATAAATCTCCAGAGGCTTGTGCAGGGAATCGTGCATTCGATGGCAGATACCATCCTGTGACGTGTGCAGTAGTTAGTTAGCCACAGTAGACTGCATGAACAGATGTGTAGAATGATTTGTCACGTGTTGAATCTATAGAGTAGCAGCCGTTCTGTGTAGCTTTGTATGGCTTAGTGTGCGTTTCGCCTCGGCATTTAGAAACAGGGTTATTACAGTGTCATTAACCAAGAAGCAATACACAGTCCTCATTGTTCTCAGATATGATGCATGAAAACAAAAGCAGTTGTGATTTAGTGTCAAATTTTCAAAGATTTTATCTGTAACATTAAACATTTGTGGCTAAACAAGCAAAGTTAAAGTGTGAAGAAAGAACATATTAGCTGTAAATTAATAACATTTAACAGTCAATAATTGCTCAATTTTGATTGGTTCATGGAAATCCCTGGTATCTCTTTTTTATTTGTCAAAATCGAGCCCAAAATCATTTGAAATAACCAGCATTGCTCTGGCAGAAAATAATGTGTTTAAATGTGCACTCAAGCCGATTAGCGTCAACCCCACCGCTGTGTCTGTCATCGCAAATTCTAAATCTACAGAACTTTATTTCAGATCCAAGTGGAGATCCCAAAGTTTCCAAACATGTCAGGGGGAATTTTAGAGAAATGCTGCACAATACATTCAGAATAGAGTTTTTCCCCTCAGTGCAAACATCAAACAGCTTCGGCGAAGAGCTAAAAGAATCTGATACAGCATATGTCAAACAAATTGAATTTGAAAGCTACTTAAGGGGAAATTAAAAAGGGAAAATTCAAGTTTAAGGCGTTGAAAGGGGACTACAGGGAGGAAAAATGAGCAGCTCAAATTGATCACCTCTTATTATAAAGTTGCTTTTTGGTCTTGGTGAAGCTGGTTTGCATGCCATCGAGGAACTAGAACACCTCCGCCAACCAGTCAAGTTGCAGTTTACATCCATGTCTGCCCAGACTCAGTAGTAGTGTAATGTAGTGATGACTTTGAAGGAATTAATTAAATAATTAGTGTATGAATTCTTCAAATATGACCAAAAAAAACATTTTTTTGAGGACACAGTAACCTTGATGTTTGACCTCTAACCTCAATGTACAACCCAAAAACAAACAAGAAAAAAACCCGACATGAGTCAGGTGTGCAGATTCCTGTGATGAGAAACAATCATTCGGTGAGAGAATCAGTCCACTAAGAGAAAATGAAGGCTTGGGTTTTATCATAGATCAGCTTTATGTGTAGTTCTGTGTACAGCTTGAATTCTGGGATATGTAGTTGTTTATAGGATAGAGTTCATTTCACACCAACTTAGTCTGAACCCCGGCTGCTCTGAAGCTCCCGCTCATCAACTGTCTCAACCAATCAGACGATTCCCTCCTCCTGTCACTCAATGTCATGCCACCTTTCACTGCTCGTCTGCCCGGCGTCAGTGTGTGTGTCTGTATGCACTGTATGTGTGTGTGTATCTCATATGTGTGTGTGTTAACATAGGGTTCAGCCAGCAAAGTGTGTGTGTGTGTGTTTGTGTCTGGAGCAGGTTTGTGTGTTTTTACTTTGAGGCCAATGGAAACTGATGACTGCATGTTGCCTTATCAAGCAATCTGACATTCACACACACAGAGACAATACAATACATCACACTTGTACTAACACACACTCGAACACACACGCACACCGCACACTCAAAACAACACACAATCGCACACCCCACCGCAAATACGCAAACACAGATCACACACACCATGTTTAAGTTGGCATCAAAGCAGACTCGCTGATTTTATAAACAGTACCAGTGAAATTAAAAAGGTTTTGTTGAAATCCAGCTTCAGTGTCAAGAATTTATTTGAAGAGGTGAAACGTTGGTTGTTGAGTGAACACTGTCTGATTGAAAATACAAGGTTTGCTAACCCAGCACATTATTATCACAGTCAGCGCCAGATTAACTCACTAAGGGACCTCAGGACAAAAAAATGACTGTCAGCTGGATTTGCTTGTTTGCTTTTTTTTTTTTTTTTTTTTACCAAGGGTTAGACATTTTGTCTGTGCTTGGAGGTGGCTAACTTAGCTTAGCATAAAGACTGGAAACAGAGGAAAACTAGCCAAAAATACACCTATGAGATTCTCTAAAGATCACTCATTAGCATATTGTGTCATATTGTAATGACCTGCCAGTTCAAGATCAATAACGCACAGGCATGAGGCAGCTATCGGTCCTCTCATGTAACTCTCAACAAGGCATCTACTGTGCGTCAGTTACAGCAATATCAACATATTAAGCTATTAAAACTAGATTTTAACACAAGGCCCTTCAACGGGACCAGGCTTCAGGACAAATAAAGACACAGGAGGCAGCTTCAGGCAATTATGATTTTAGATAATATTCTACTTTACTAATCAAACTGGCGATTACTCGACACACAAAAAGATGTCTATGGGCATCGGGATCCCTTAGAGTCTTTCTACTGTTTGTAATGCCTGAGAACATGTGTACTAAAAGAGAAAGAGCTGCACCCCTGTCAATGAAAACAAGGGTGCAGCAGGCAACTCCCAGAACATATTAATTAATTGTATAATATATTTTAAATGCCAGCCAAGAAATATTTTGGTTGTTTTTTTAAGTTTAATATTTGGTTAACAGAGACGTTGCATGAGCTATCGCACGCACGCACGCACGCACGCACACACACACACACACACTTACAGTCTGTCCTGTTACTCATTTGACACACTGTTGTATCGTTTTCTGAACATTTTATTGGTTTCCACAAAATGCATAAAATAAAAATAAAAAGTCATTTCCTCCAAAACGATTTGAGGAACTGGACGGTTAAAACTGAGGAACATTCGACCAGGGAACGGGCGGTCACAGTGACACCTCGCCCCCTCCCTGCTCCCCTTTCTTGGCCAGCGGAGGAATCGGGGAGAAGCTGCTTTTAAGATGAGAGACAGCAACGGGAAAGGAGGGGAAAAAAGCCAGGAACAAGGAGTGGGAGAGCTTCTATCGAAACTTGAAAGGTAAAAACTACCTATTAAAAATAATAATAATCCTTGTTGGGAATCTTAAACCTTGGCAACTTCACTACTAACCTTTACATCTTAAAGAGTGAGAGGACAAATTCAAGAGAAATAAAATTACTATTCTCTTATTCACATAAAGTTAAATCTAAATCCCTTTTGATTAAAGTTAAACTGCTCCCTAATAGAACAGACCTCTTTCTGAAATAAGGCATCTGTAGTGCTGACAACTGAAACAACCACAGCAGGAGGGTCACACATGCATTCAGCGATCACAAAAAGGGGCGCTTTGAACATGGCTGCCGTACAACAATATCATGAACATTTATACGAGGGCTGAGGGAGGGACAGGGTGTTTCTTTCTCTCCCAGGATGTAGCTCTTTTTCTGCTTTTTCCTCAACATAACCTCAAAAACGGAAACAAGAACAATATTCAAAAAGGAGATGCAGATTCAGTATAATGGCAGCACAAAGATCACAGGATAAATACCAGGCTAGCCAATGTGTCGCTCTAAATGTGTGTGTGTGTGTGTGTGGTTGTGTGTGTGTGTGTGTGTGTGTGTGTGTGTGAGAAAGTGTGAAAGAGCAGCGGTAAACAGTGATATGTTCTGAAGGCTGTTTAATAGGTGGAAGAAGGCAGGAGAGGGTGATCAATAGCAGGAGGGTGGGAGGTGGGGGGGTGGGGGGGAGTAAGTGTGGGTCGTGATTGGCCGTTTATGTGAAGGTCAGCCCCGCCTCGTTGTAGACTTTGAAGACCTTCTCGATGGCGTTGACGTAGGCGGCCGTCCTCAGGTCCAGACCCAGGTTGTACTTGCTCGCTGTGCGCATGATTTGCTAAAAAAGGCAGAGTAGAAAATGTTTCACATGTTGGCTGACAGCAATGCCAACAGCCAACAACACAGGATGTACACGCTTTCAGTCAAAATGTCACGATGACCTGGCCTTACATGGTAATGACTTTCTCTTATTCTTCATACATTTGAACATCTCAAACATCCCTTTAAACTCAGAGCAGGAATTTCCCCTCGCAAAAACTTTCCTGGTTTACAGCAGGATGAGGATTATGACAGACATGGTTTTGAGAACCACTGTACTACACTGACATTTCCAGGTTTCTGAAGCGCAAGTCATATGTTTCATCTCAATTTACTCTACAACATATGAAGCCTGTTCTCTACAACAGGTTGGACTGTGTGATGTCTCGCACGATGGCTTACCCGGGCAGATCGCTCCATGGTGTAGGCCAACCCAGAGTGAACAATATCCTTCTCAGAGGCACCCTGCACAGAAAGATGAATGTTAAACACACAGTGGGTCTGAAGGACACTTTTGATACAGCATGTATGGACAGTAATCCTGAAGCAATGAATACTTCAGGGAATTAACAGCAACAACAAACATTAGCTTGGTTGCTTGCTTTTTCATATGAATGTAAATCAAATGCTTTCACTTTCACTTCATAAGACAACTTGGCTGTAGTTACTTGTGATGGATGTTTGTCTTTTGTTAGCCTTTTGTGACCTTTAAGACTTTTGGAGGCCTTTGTTACATGTCACTTAGAATTAGTCTTTGTTATTCCATATGATGACAGACTCTGTTAATAAAGTGTCAATCAAGGGGATTAAAACGCCTCAAATGCTGTTCATTGATTTGACAAAGTTGGGGACACTCCTACTGTCTTTGTGTGACAAAATGTCAGAATGTCCTCTAGAACAAAGACGATCAAGTGTCAGTTAGAACTGGGAACGTTCGCATGTTATGTTATCATGATATTCCTGATTCTAAATGTATGAAGTATTTCTAGTATTAGGAGTTTTGCAGCATTGAGTTTCGGGTCAACACAGTGCAGGGCACCCTAAAATAATGTGCGGGTATCACGATAAACAATCATCCTCTCATAATCTGTAGCTCAGACTGTAGGCTACATGAAGTTGATAACTCATAAATTCAAGAAGTGTTTCATTTTACTTGTTACTGTGTTGGTGCTATATGTTCATCATTTTTAACTCATTATACTCAGTAAATCATATCTATATTTTATCATGACAGTATTAATCATAGTTTTTCATTTCAATTTGAATACATTATCGTCAACAGATCATTTTTTATTTCTCTTACTAACAGGCACCAAAAGTTGTCAGACTATCAGCCAAACTACGACTTAGAGTCTCTGCAGGAATAGCTTCAGGCTAACACAGGCTAATAAGCACTGATTGAAATTCTGAATGCAGTACAAATCTGATGAGCCCCAAAACCCCCAAGTGGCCTCTTCTGTATTCTTTGGCAAACGGGCGCCAGAGTTTATAACCGTTTTCAGGTTGTAACGCTTTAATTGATATGGCTGACAGTTAGTTTGGTAACATATAAAAACAGAACAGGTGGGAGACAGAGAAACCTTTCCACAGTGTCGGATTTTGGAGGGGGTACGTACCAGTTCAGACCTGATACGTATCAAACTCACAAAAGTGTCAGTACATTCCTGATCACCACCGGTCTCTGCTTGCATATGTGTGTGTCAGCAGATGTTACTCACAGCAACTCGGGCCTGGAAGTCAGCAGTCGGGACAACGGGAATGGGTCCCCCCTGTTTGCCGAACTTCCTCTCTAAGCTCTCCTGCACAGACACTGCAAGAGACAGCAGAGGAAAGGGAGAAATTAAAGAAGATGCCTCTTTGTTTCTGCATCAATAACAGAAATGCCAGCAATGACACACCCTGAGGGTTCATCCAGTTAATCTAGTTTTTAAGACCATACTTCAATTGTTTTATATTTATTACCATACATGGTGAAAAATGACTCCTGCCATTGTATGATTGGCTGTATGTGAGCAAGAGAGAAAGTATAAATACAAAGGGAAAAAGGTTTTCCAGAGCAGTCCTTTGCCTTGGACAGACATTCACACCAGCTGACACCGAATTTACACAACATCACCACGCTGCCTGAAGTTCCATAGATTTGGTAAGAATTCTTCTATTTTTCTGTCCTGGGGAGGTAGACTTCAAATATTATGGGTTACTGTTCATACTGTCCACATCTAACACAAGTCCTGACCTGTGGTTTTTCAGCAGCTATAGACTATCAACCATCCCAGTGAGAAAACATACAGACAGAGCATCACAACAAGAAGAGAAATACAAGGTATAACACCACAGCAAGCCTAAGAACTGAATGTGTTTTAATACTCATCAGTAGTATGTTCATTTACAATAAATTATGTTTTTTGTTTTAATATAGATGTCTGCTCGAAGAATTAGATACCCTAAAAACCTGAAAAAAGAAGGCAAAAGAACCCACAAAGAAGGGATTCTGAGATCAACTCCAGATGTTCTCTATGAGGACACTAGAAGAGACGGTTCAAGATGCAACCTTATTTTCCTTACTAATTCTAAAGAGGACTGGAAAGCTGCAATAAAGTCTGAATATCCTGGGATGGAGGAAAAACAATTGATTGATAAAATTAAACTTGTACTCCCAGACAAAAGTGGCACTATATGTGTATACCCTAGTGGAAAGTTTGTGATACAAGGTACAGACGAAGGCCTTGCAGCATTTGAAGCAAACTTTGAGAACCTGACCAACGAGAAGGAAATGATAACCTTGCAGAGACAAGCAGAACAAATGGCCCTTGATCATGAGTCTGATTCTGATCCTGAAACAGAAGGCGATCCTGGTGAGGCTGGGATTGACCAAAAGGTCCTCTCCCAAACTAAAATGCAAAAAAAATAGAAAAAGGGAGGAATAACAAAGTCTGGGTTGTCTGTTTATTAAGTTCAAACAGACTGGAAAAAAAGAAAAATATGGATCATTAGACAATAAATAACTTCCAATTAAAACTTCTCTGACCAGTCTATGTCATGAATAGGTGACTGGGTTGTAAAATCAATTACATATTTTTATTTTGCATGTTATGTACTTTCTGGTAATGTAATTTCTGGTTCTTGGGTTTACATATTGTTTTTAAATGGTGTCAGGATATAAAAATGAAATATCAAATGTAAAGGAATTATAATGATGATGTATCTTCTGACTGTGTCTTACAACACTGGCTCACTATAGTCTGTCTGCAAGTTACAGAGGAATTACACAGCAGTCTTGTACTCACTGAGCAGGTGGTAGTTTGAGTCCCTCTCATATTTGAAGGTCAGTCTCCCGTAGCTGACATGGTTGAGATTCTTCAGCCACTCGAAATAAGACACTGTCACACCACCAGCATTCAGGTACATGTCCTGCAGTATGAAACATCACATAACTCAGACTATCTTCACTGCTCTGTGTTTTTATCAAATTTCTTCTGTAGTGCAAAATGTTTTTATGGTTTGATTAAGGAAGGACATGATTTTTCTGACAAATAAAGAATAAACTGTCAAAGCTTTTGTGCGCTCATTAATTTGACAAGGCTGCATCAAAACAGGTGCAAGTGAAACTGAAAATTCACATGTGAGAGCAAGTAAAAGCTTGGAATAAGAGTTTGTTGCTTGAACAATAAAGGCTGAATTATTATTTACATGTCTAGTCACGTTTCTTGTTTTAAGAATAATTCATTCTGCTCATTGTTCAGGGTTAGATATTATATTCACATATTTGTGTGTAAAGTTTCAATTAAAGTTAGATATTCTTCGGTGTTATTTATTAAGAGTTTAATACTCCACACACTTCGGTTAGTGTCTTCAGGACTGTGTGGGTGTGCTTTGGTCACATTTTATTGACAGTGTTGTAAACATGAGAAAAACCCCACAAACTGTTGGTAGATTTCGACTCAACTGTTGCTAAATCCTGATTAGTGGTCAGAGGTATGTGACATTCTGTGTTTCCAACTGAGCTCTGCCCCCTTCAAATGAGTGAGAAGAGCTCAGAGGACAAGAGAAACTGTCTGTCTGTGTGTGTCTGTCTGTCTGTCCGTCCGTCCGTCCGTCCGTCCGCTTACAGGAATAACCATGACGTTGTTCTCCAGGAAGACCTTGTCAGCATCTGGGGTGGTGGGACCATTGGCACCCTCAGCAATGATCTAGTACAAACAAAAACACAAACACACACTTCACATGACTGCGACCAAGTTCTCAGTCCTCACTCATATCAATCCAAACGACGACTTAAAGCCCAGGACTTGGGTGAATCAAATCGAGTGTTTACCTTAGCCTTGATCCTGGGGGCATTAAGGCGTGTGAGCTGCTTTTCTCCTGCAGCAGGGATCAGGATGTGGCAGTTGGCTTCCAAAATGTTCCCTTCGTAGGGTTTGGCTCCCGGGAAGCCCACGATGGTGCCGTGTTGCTGCAGAAAGCACCCACACACACACACACACACACACACACACACACACACACACACACACACACACACACACACACACACACAAATATTAGAAGGTTAGAAAATCAGTACCTCCAAAAGCAGAAAAGATGGTTACATTGGTAGGTGAGAATAAATGAGCAAAATATAAAAAAGGAGGAGTGATGTATTTTACGCATGAAAAGCGAATCAACAAAGAGAAAAGAGAACAACTCTGAGTTAAAGATATTAGATTAAATATACAGATATTAGAAAGGTGAAAGTGAGGGGAAGCCAATTGTGCTCGTACCAGTTTGTAGTCCTCCAGCTGTTTGGGGTCGATGCCCTCTGGGTTGTAGATGGCTCCATCAATCTCACCAACGCCCACACACTTGGCCCCGAACCTGTGCAGGTACCTCATGGAGTGGAGACCCACATTACCAAAGCCCTGTGAAAGGTCACAGCAAGGTTATCATCACCACAGTCCAACATCACTACGATGATCACTTTTAAATCACTTTTAGTAAACATTTCTTTCTTGTTATACCCATTTTAAATCAACTGATACAGTATAATTCAGCTGCATGTAATGATACAGTACACTCTGGTGCCACCATGTGGCCAGTAAAGGGTAGGTGATATGGATAATCATATATCACGAGATACAGTAACATGATGTTGCTATAATGATATATATCTAATTCCATGCATATTCTAGATCATACAAGAAATCAAGATACTTCATTCCACTGATTCCAAGCTCCTGTAAAAAATACTGCTGTAAATAATTAGATTTGGAATATTTCCCACCATAATCTCATACAACCAGATATTAAATGATTTGAACCTCTGTATGAATTATATGGTAAAACAATTTTCTACAGCAAGGTTGAGCTCCGATTTAATCATCTAACGGTATGTACAGTGTCACACACCCCTGGCTCAACTCTAACTGAACTGCAGGATAACAGGGATACGAAAAGCCGACTCCACAGCCGACTTAAAAAAAAAGAAGTGTGATAAGGGAGTAAAATGCTCTGATCCTGATACCATACTAAAGATCTGCTATCTCCTCCCTCAACGATAAATCTCTAAGAAAATCTAATCTCGGCACATTGTAATCCTCAAACACACACACGCACACACACAGAGAGAGGGATTAGCTTTTTGAACATCCACATCATGATTCAGCTGTTGTCACCACTTCTTCAACTCCTCAGTGACACCCTTACCCCCATCATCACTCAAACACCCCCCTCCACAAACTTCCTCTCCTTTCGACATCTCCAATAGCTCCTTTATTATTGCAGAGAAAATATTCCTGTTTGAAAATCTCTATGAAACAAGTACAGAATATTTGCAGGGGCAATATGCATCCTGTGAGGAAACAACAAGCAACTAACCTCCTTTATGTGTTGTTAATCATGAATACCAGATAATATTGTTGTCATGAAAAAGTGGTAATTATAGAAAGAATTCCAGGAAGGCCAGTGCTTAGGGGTTCCTTTCTGTGTGTGTGTGTGTGTGTGTGTGTGTGTGTGTGTGTGTGTGTGTGTGTGTGTGTGTGGTGTGTGTGTTGACACGTGAGGAGCTGCCATGTGACAAGTGGAAGTGAAACTGCTTCTCTCACTCTCTCACACTCACACACACACACACACACACACACACACACACACACACACACACACACACACACACACACACACACACACACACACACACCTCTTCTAACAGATTTACAGTTTAAATCAGTAGTACACTTAAAACAGAAAGACCTTTCCATGATTTCAATGATTGAACAAACTTTGAGCTCAATAACATAATTGATTTTTTTTTTAAACTCACAAAGCTCAACATGCAGGAATTAATTGTTGGTCTCCCAAAACTGTTAATTGGTCCCAGTTTTTCTAAGTGACTTATTTCCGTTGAACAAAGAAGGGAAACTCCTTCAGTTCACTGCCGTCTGCTTGGTAAGAGGAAATCAGATCCAGGCTAAAACAGATGGCGTGGCTGTGATTGAAGCACAGCTCTAAAACCCCTCATCACGATTTCAAATGAAAACTTAAATCCTGTGTTAGTATCTGTGGGCAGATATCTGCAGTACATTTAGGATCTCTTTCCTCTTGAGCAAAATGCCTCTACTATGATCAAACCAAGCATGCATGTGTACCTGGACAACAAAGGTCTTGTCCTGGAAGCCAGGGGTGAAGCCCAGCATGCTCATGTAGGACGCCTCGTTAATGAAGTTCTCAATGCCGTGGAAAACACCACGACCAGTGGCTGAGATACGTCCATGGATTCCTCCCTGGCTGATGGGTTTTCCTGTCACGCATGCATGGGCGTTGATATCCTGCACATACACACACACATATACAAAGAATATTAGAGCACATAAACCTTTGAACACTATGAACACAGGTATCATTGCCCTGTTTTTGAAGCCTCAGTCAGGCAAAGCAACTCTTAAAGCCTCCAATCATTCTCAGAATATCCAATATCCATAGGAAGTCTTGAAACTGAAGTCAGCACTGAGACCAACACTTTTTGCTGGAAACGTTATATTCCAATAGAAAATCTACTATTTTTTTTTTTTTTTTTAAAAAAGGAAATGCAATGCAGCCCAAGACTTTTGGAAACTTGCATCTAGTGGTCGTCGCTGGTACTGCATCTTACGGCCCTTTCTGCCCCAGCTTTAGTTGTTGACCATGGTGTTAAATGCTTGACATGCACACAGTAAAAGGTTGTGCAGTGCCACAGCCACAGAACCAGGCAACAGCTGACCGAACGTCAGTACACACTACCCACAACCCTCTGCCCCTCAGATACCCAGAGCAGGAATGTGTCACCCAAGTCCTGCCAGGGGTATCTGGAACAGAGGACACATGACTGGATAAAGTGAGAGGAGGTTAGAGAAGGAGAGTGGAAAGGGAAAACGAGTGTCATGGGAACAAGAAAAAGATTGTTCCAAATGTAGGTTGAATTTGTTTAAAGTAAATAAATGATGACTTATGTGGATTACAATGTTTGTAGGCATTAACAATTTAATGAGAGATATATAGAGTGCTTTGTTTATATTAATTTGACATATATCACAATAACCCCTTTCCGTTTGTAAGCTTATAAAACTATAGCAAAAACACTCTATTGCGCTATTGAGGAACCTGTTTAAAACAGATACCCTGACTCTCACGCTACACTAGTCGACTGAAATCCTTTCTTGGTTAACTGAATGGTTAACAAACCAAATCTTAGATGAAATGTAACCTCATGGCAAAAAATAAATGAGCACAGGAAACATCTGCTTTTTTTGGATTGTGTTGATAACATATCTGATTGTCTATGAAAAAAATATATCACAGAAAATGATTACAGTTACATAAAAACATGCATTTGTCCCACAAATGATAACATCTAAGGGCATAAGCCATAAAAAGAGCTGGTCAAGTTTTATAGATGTTAAGAAGGGACATTTGAGACCTCAGTTGAGACCTCACACAGTTTCAAATTTAAACTTGATAATCAAACACAAAATGTTCTCTGGTTCCAGGTTTTCAAATGAGACTATTTTTGAACATCTTTGGGTTTCAAACTTTGGGTTGAACAAAACTCAATGAAAAGGTCACTTCGTGTTCTGGGAAATTTCACTATTTTTTGACATTTCATAGCATAAACAATTAAATACATACAGATAACAGATTGATGTATAATGAAGTAATCATAAATTGCAGCCATAAATTATATAACCGCTAGTGCTGCACGTAACATCATTTTCATTTTCGATTATCTATATCTATATAATCTATCAATTATTAATTCCAAGTCTCAATTTCCCAGAGCCCAATGCGATGTCTCAAGTTGCTCATTATGTCTGACCAACATACCAAAACAAAAAGACTTTCAATTTATGAAGAGCAAGAAATCCTCACAATGTAAGAGTTGGAACCAAGGAGTGTTCCCCGGGTGGTAATTTTGTCCATCGGCTGGTCATTTCAGATGTAACAATCACCAATCTTATGTTCACAGTAGAGACATTTGAGTTCTCTTAAAACTGCAGCTGGCTTTTCCTAACTGCTTCTGAATTCATCTTTGTACTTTTCCCTGACTTCAAGGCAGTTAAAATCATGGTCAAGTGAGAGTTTTTGACCATTATCATTTCGAGAATTTGGATCTAACTTGTACACATGAACATACAAGGGCAAATATTTTCCATATTTAGTCAAATAAGCCCTGTTTGACAGGTTTTGATAGGAGAATGATTAAGTGATAACATAAACACACACACACGCACACATACAAACACACACACACACACACACACACACACAAACACACACACAGGCCTCTGTCCTTAAAGCTGCCTTTAATGGAGCAGGAATGTTTCTGTGGTGGGCTGGGAAGGGAGAGGCAGGAAACCACTGTTCATGGTTTACATGTGAGTCACTCCTTGTTTTTAATTTGGCCTTTTTTTTTTCTTTTTTTTTTTATAAATTCGTACCAAAACCCAGTCATGTCACGCAGATCGGTTCTGTATGTCGGAGAACTCACAGTGTGTGCAATGGTGTTGGCGTATGTGTCGGCAATCCAGGACATTTCCCTCTCTCCTGTGCTCATGTCTGGGGCTGGGACATCGATGCCAGGCCCTGGTGAACAAAGACATGTCAGAGAATAAGGGAGGGAAAAGTGGGATAGTTCTGTAAAGCATGCTAGTCACTGTGTACCTCTGCCGATCCTAAAAATTTGAATGAACTTTATGTCATTTACAACACGGATCTGGATGTCAGGGGAAATGTGAGCAGCAGGCTTTGTGCCCTTGTGTCATGTATACATGTGCACTCAAGAGTCTTGGATCTTGGAATGAGGTCCAAAAACAGAAGCAGGCATGCAGAGAGACGGGGGAGGGGACTACTGAGGGAGCAAAGGATGACTGGATCTCTCAAATGGTGCAGTTTGACATGTTACACTCACACAACAGGGCAGTGATGTGTGCAGTGGGTGCTGCTACCCCCAGGGTGTATAAAAATTCACTAGTGAAGGCTGCTGCATAAAACCTCATCAAATGAGTCAACTATTTCTGTCTACAAGCATATGAAAATATTAAAATGCACATAAGAGACGGTGTCATATCTTTGCTGTGTTTGAACTGGACACATTATAAACATTAACATGCATCCAGGCAGGGGTGGAGAAAGTGCCTGTATAGGGGCCGTTAACCTGCTGAACCAGTGTATATGTTTATCTGTGACCTTGATCAAAATGGTTAACACTAATCTTACAACTTCCAGCAGAAATTAAGTGAAATGACCATTTCTATTTGTGTAATAATGTTAGGTTTACAGTCAAAAAGCTAGCACCTCTTTAAATGAATGATTCTGATGATTCAAGATAAACATTATCCCAGTCTTTTTCACTAGTATTAATCATTTCTGCTCTTCAGTTGACACAGGCACACCCTGAGCTACCCCAACCTGAATAAACAGCTCTACATGACAGGAAATGTTTACTTCTCTGGGTGGAAATATATGCATCACTGCAGCTACAGTGTTTTTACTGAGTCAAATAGCGGTAAGGACACTGGACATCAATTTTGCACGGCTGAATGAACCAAATACAAAGCAGGGCAACAAATACCTACTCACAGAAATTATAAAATGTTTTTAACTTTAAATTCACACACAAAAACTCACCAATGAAACCCTTCTTGGCCAGCTCAATAGTGAATCTCCTAGTAATCTTCTCCAGCTCATTGTCCTGAAGTAGACAGAAAGTGTAGAGTTTAGGAAAACAAACATGTCGTCACCTTGGTTACATTACTTCCTCTGAAACAAAACAGTGTGTCCTCCATATAAAGCAAAAGTTTCAATCATTTAGAGCGATGCTTCAGGCATTTTGATAAGACTGAACTGTTTTTGTTTAGGCTTTCCTTCCAGTCAACTGTGAGCTCAGAGGCAACAGCCAACGACCTTTAAATCTGTTTATCTCTCAGTATCCACCAATAGACACATTAACAGCCCTATCTACAATCCAGTTAAAGACAGAGCTGTCATCATTTAAAGAATTAAGTACATTTGACTTAAACCACTAAATGCTCATATTTTATATATCTGGTCATTTACTGGCTCTGCAGCTCCTCTAGCCTTTAAATCAAAATTCAATCTAGAGGAAGATACGGAGGCCCATTTGATTATCTGCTTCGACTGCTGAATGTAAACAAACATCTCTTTCACATCTTGATCTCTCTGTCTCTCTCTTTAATTATTCTCTCTTCTAACTTAATTTCCCCTCGCTGTGTGGACGAACCAATACAACATGAAAGGATGAGACTCTGCAGCCCTGCCTTGTGCATTCTTGTGTGATTGAATCATCCACTGGAAAGAGGCATAGGAAAAACTGATATCCCTCACATACACAATGTCAGCCTTGTAAATGTTAAGTGCTCATTTTAAGCTTTGTTGCTTTACTGTAAGCATTATAGCGCACAGTTAAATGTGTCTCTACATGTTCATGTGTGCAAGTGTTGCGGAGGAGATTGTTAGAAGGCTTACAGAGTAATTCCTGGGGTTGATCTTGACTCCAGCTTTGGCTCCCCCAAATGGCACATCTGGTGGAAAATAATACAGCTTAAAAACCATAGGGACATACATATGATTGTACTAACACACAAGACATTAAGATACACATGCAGAAGAGGAAGAGGCTAAACAAAACACTGATAACTATTCTCTAATTCTGTTGCATGACCAATAACCTAACGTCCTGGAAAATTAAGTCAAGAGCAGTGTCCAGAGCATTTAAACATTAAACATGAGGTGGATAAATGACAAGAGGTTGGTAAGAAGTGCATGTTTAATATGTATGTGGAGATCAGACAATAACCACCAAGAGGCTTTGTGGAAAGCTTAGACTTTAATACTCACCGACGACAGCACACTTGTAGGTCATCAGAGAAGCCAGGGCTTTCACCTCATCCACAGACACATCTGTACTGTAACGGATACCTGAGGAAACACACACAAGCACAGGGGGACGTTTATAACAAACAAATAAACTCGTTAAAACATGTGCAAAAGGTCTAGAAGTTTTGTTATGATGTTTTGTATGATAAAACACACGTTTCTGTTTTTACTAATTGATATTTAGATATTTTTTATAAAACATTCAGACTGCAACATGGGGGAAATCACCACTGTAAGTGTAGCTCAACAACAGAATAAGGTCATGAACAGCAGTGATAGACCACTGTCAAAGCTGCACTGGACCAATAATCGCACACAGTATGTTCTCCATAATCATGCCAGACCACATGCAGAGGTCAGAGTTCACCAGTTGAGTCTGTCAGCCAGTAAAAGCGACGGGCGGGTGGAGACCAAATGAGCCAATCCCAGCCATCCATTCTGACCCCAGCCCTCGAGTTGCAGTCATTTCTTCCTGTTGTCTAGAGTTTACTACCGTTGCCAAGGTAACATGTGTGGGCCAACCCGTGTGCAACGTTAAATGAGATCATATAGCCAGCCGCTGGACCAGCCAGACTGCCCAAGTCACTCTACTCCATCTCATTGGCACAGTGTGTTTGTGTGTGTTTGTGTGTGTGTGTGTGTGTGTGTGTGAGATTGGCCGGCAAAACCAAATATAGCATATCCAGTGTTAGCTTACACAGAGAAACCCAAGGGCAAACAGCACAAAGACACTGCAGAGTGTGTCTATTTGTGTGTTCAACTGCAAGCACAGCATAGGAAGCTCAAGTAAAATCCCTCCTACTATGATACAATCTTACCATAAAATCTTATAGTGCCACTTAATGACATCATTTTATGCCCAACTACTTCCATCTGTGTAATTGCATGATAATAGTAGTACACAAGGAAAAGATCAAAATATCCTGAAAACAAAGCTCCACCTTTCAGAGCGCTGCTGTGGATCTCCCTCTATCTTCATTTCCTTTCATCCACAGATCAGCTGAGGACCTCGGGCCGTCAGAGGACAATCTTGAGCTCAGTGATCAAATTAAGTAGGGAGAAAAAAAAAAAAAAAAGCTTGGCTGCCCACCCATCCCCCATCCAGCCATTCATTTATCCACCCAACCAACAGAACCACCACAGCAACGAGAATCAAAACATATCTGTAAACACATTCCTCTGAAATGGAGGGCAGATTTTTGGAAATAAACTGAGCCAACGTTGAAATTCAGAGTTTGTGCAGCCGTCAGAGCAGCTGAATTTCTTCACAAGGCCTGAGGTAATGGAGCCGCATATCTAGACTCCTATTAAAACACATTTTGAGGCTTTTGCTTGAATAATTGTGTGTTTGGTTTAAATGGTTTAAAATCATTATTGTTTAAATAATTGTTTCAGTTATTCAATGCATTTGCGTTGCTTCATTTAGTATTTTTCCTTTCACTATCAACTGTTTCTTCTTATTAATTTTCTTCAGTGCACACATAATTGTTTTAAGTCTGTGTGTGGTTATTTATGTTAATAATTATCCATGGTTTTAAATGCCGTACTAATACTAGTGGCAGTTTTTATTTTTGAAAAAAATAAAGTGAAAAAAGTTAAAATTGTTTGGATGCAATGATCCACAAAGATCCAAAGGGATTTTGATTAAGTGGCCAGGACTCTGACACTGCATCTATTTACACCATGTTGCATTAAATATCCATTTAAAAAACATTTATACTGAATGGATTTTATGACATATCTATGCAACTTTCACAAAATGCTGCACTCATTGTTTCCCACGTGACACTAGTGACATCCCACAGATTTATTCCACTTCTGCACAGAAAGGAGAAGGATGTAGACTATTTAGCAGACTAAACAAAACTTGAGTGGCTTGTACTTTTTAACACAAACTCTCTTCAAGAAGTTTGCAAACACCCATGCATCTACACCAAACCATGCATTGTTCTTGAGTTAACGATCATTCAGTAGTCAGTAGCGAGCAGTGCAGCTCTCAGCCCAGCAGCTGTTGCTCTGTGTGGCTCCCAAAGCTGGAGCATGAGCACCACACGCACACACAAAACAGCCTTTGCACTTTGTAGTTTGATTTGAACACAGCCAAGGGTCTATGTACTACTATCAATAATTAAACCCACTAGCAAAATATCTACTTTTACTCCTATTCCACCCCTATTATCCTGGAATTCAGCATGAGTGACTTCACAGACTTGTTTATTGAGCCACTAGAATCAATAAACTGTCAGTTAAATGAAAATTGTGTAAACACCATGTTTTTTCATGTGCAGGCCAAATAAAGATCTGAGACAAATGACTCCGAAGTAAAGTGTAGGATCAGTTCTAGTAGTTGCTGTGATTTCACAGTGATTCCTACATGATTTTTTATTATGTACAAGATATTTTAACTGCAATTGGCAGACTGAGCAATAAATCAAAACAACTAGTTTTATCATATGTTTGTTGGTTTTATGCATCTAAATCTAAATGCTTCAAAAGTTAACACATGCTGTGATCTGTGTAGCCTACCATTTTTAACAATTGGTTAACTATCACAATGATCATGACATGAGAGGAAGCTTTTTAGTAAGACAACAGCTATAGAGGCAAGCTAATGGCAAGCTGAATTTGATACAGCTTTGGATCGAGGTGATGCTTAGCTCTCCTCAGGCTTTTATGAGGAGGATAGAGGCAATGACGCTCTTTCACTGGTATTGATTTTTACCTCTATTGCCTCTCTGAGTTACCTCTCACTGATAACTGGTTAGATAGTGTGTGGTACTGCAAATTCATAAATAGGTGCACTGATCCATTACTGTAATGTGGTTTGATGGAGAAAAATTGTAATGGATATTTTATCTTTATTACCACTCTGATTCAGCTTCTCAGGCAGGTTTCTATTTTTTTTTTTTTTTTTTTAAATCACTAAACCAATTCTTGTGTATAGCCCACAAACCAAGTGCATGTCTTTAGCGGAAATATGCCTCCCAAGAATAGGCCTACATTTACTACATCAAGCAGGTGCAGTCGAAGGTTTCATAGCATTAATACCAGGCCAATGTCCGCTCCACACCATTCAAACATGCCTTTTGAGTGGCTGACTGAATGGCATGTATTTTTCTACTGAGAATGCCTTCACTCCACAGCACCCTCCCCCACCTGTCACACTGCTGACAAATAGGAGTGCCTGGAAACACAGCCACCCCCCTCCCAAAGTCTCTCACCTCCCATCTTCCTATACATCATATCCCTCTACTCACAATTTACCCAGAGTGCACTGCAGCAGTAGCCCATAATGCCTCTGCTTTGAACCTTGAACTCTGAACCAAAGAGCATATATCATGCTGTCATATTATATTACATTCTGCCCAAGCCCAAAACACTGAACAAGCAGCTCATTTATACAGTGGATTTCAGTATTTGTCTATAGAGTGGGTGAGGACCACATTCTGTGTATTTGCCGTGCTTGGGTTTGCCTGTGAGCATGAATGACCTGACAGAAAAGTGCATGAGCAATGCTTCTTCAATGGTCAACCATGTGCCTGCCTTTTACATCACATCATACATCTGTATAAATTGGAATAAGAGAGGACCCCATTGGTGATAGTGACAAGAAGTAAACTGACGTATCCGTCCAGTTTTAAACTAGATCAAAGCAATGGATTCTGGCAAAGTTCTGGCAAAAGTATTGTTCATGAAAGATGACAGTAAAGATTCATATAGTAGTTTGACGGCTAGCTCACTGCTTGCTCTCAGCACAGCCACAGGTGAGCAGGAAGGTCACTGTAGACTGAACAAAAAGTCTCATATAAACAGTCTCATGTAAACAAATAAGCAGTTGTTGAAAATACGGGTGTAACGTTGGTAAGCTCCGGATAAAACCGGTATAGGGCGTGTAACGGTAAGCTACGGTTGCAGCTGTTGACAGCAGCCGCCTTATAATTTGTGCTTTTAAGTAGCTAACAGTACTGCTAATGCTAAGTAGCTGGCTACAGCTAGCTGTCAGAGAGGCCAGTCAGGGTGGGCTTGCCACATTCTTACCCCCTTTGCAGGGTGTCCTGTGCTGGCTGTGCTGGGCGCGGTAGCCCTCCACAACCTCCCACTCTCCGTTATCCCTCTTGATGGGGAAAGACACGCTCAGGACGTGGTTACAGGGCTTGATAATGCGCAGGATGCCCCGCACACGGTTCCTTTTCTGCTCGGGGCTCTCCCTGGTCCTCAGATCCTCCACCAGCTTGTCCTCCACAATGGTGGCGCCGCGGTCGAAGAAGCCCTCGACCATCCTGAAGAAGTTGGGGTCGTCAGGCTTGTCCGCTGCGTCGGCATAGTGACGGACCCGCATCAGGGACGAGGAGACCGGGAGAGCAGAATCCACGCACCCAGAGGCCAGGGCGCTACCCGCAGAGCGGCTAAGCAGCTCCCCGAAATAACGATACATGACTGGAATTAGCTAATTGTGTAAACGAACAAATAAAAGGCAACTAAACAACAAGGACCATGGGGGTGACGACAGGAGAGAGGGGTAGAATAAGCAGCACAGCAACTCCTCACCGTGTCCCGTCCTCTGGCCGAGTGGGGAATGGCATGCTGTGTCCGTTTGCTTTAAAAGGCAGCGGGGGCTCCTCGGGACGCACGCGGAAGAGGAGGACCATAGGATGCGCGTGCCCGTGCAAGGCATCTGACAGCGCGCGCTCTTAAGTTTGCACCATTTGTCTGTTTATTAGGTACACCCAGCTAAGACTAATGCAGCCTAATAACAACTGCCCCTCAACTAATCTTACGTCCACGAAGGTTATAATTAAACTGCATTGTAGCCATTATGTTTACAGGTATTCCTATTATTTTGTTTACTTCATTCAAATCAATGAGTGTAGGCTAAACAACTGACACAACTCTTTATACAATGCAATACAGTTCAACAGGACCGCAGACTACAGCCTCTAAAATGATCATATAGCTCAATCAACAACTTTTTGTTGATGATTTGTTGATTGACTGTTGCATTAGACTCGTTAGTTTTATCCAGGTTTTCGTAATAAAGTGACAACTGAGCGAATATATAGAAGTAATTTGACTTTGGTTTTTAGTTGCTCTCAGTCCATTTACATGCATCTCCAAGACAAAGAAGAGAGAAATAGAGAAACAGCTAAAACCCTAACCCTAACAAAGCCAAACAAAGATATGTGGACATAAACATATAAGTATTATGTGTACAAATAAGTAAAATAAACTGTGTCAAACCGTGTGTAAATGTAACATGTATAATATGCAATGTGCTTACATTTCTATAACTTTTATTTTGATAAACTCTTACCTCTTGATTTGAGTATTTCTAGTTTATACCCCTTTCTACTCTTCTACACTACATTGTAGTATTTAATACATATTACAAAATATTATGCTTTTTAAACCACTTAATTTATTAGGCAGCTTTAGTTACTTGTTACTTTTCAGAATCATTGATAATGATCCAGTTAAATAAATAGGAATCATTCTGCATAATGAGTACGTTTATCTCTGATACTTTAGGTAGGCCTACATTTTGTTGCTAATACCTCTGTACTTTACTAAGGTAAAATTTTGAATGAAGAACTTTTGAATGAAGAATTTTTTTTCAATTTTTGAGTGGTATTGCAACTTTTACTTCAGTGAATTATTTTGATATTTCCTGCAACTACTATATAAATAGGCAATGTGCGAAACAAAAATGATATACAATATGTTGTCATTGTTATATAACACAAAAATGCATTGCATATTATACACAGTGTTTTGTAAAATAATTATTACAGTCATCAAATAAGTTGACAGCAACCACAGTGCTACAGTTTTGTACTTTATGGCTTGACCAAAGGATCTCTGCCAGGCCTGCTGTCATCAGCAGTTCCCTGATCTGCTGTGAGGGAGGAGAGAGAGGGAGTCAGTCCACTGTGTTTGCATCAGTTATTAACCAACCTTTTTGGCAGCCGCAATTAATGGGTGAGTTGATCTGGTGATGATTGATCTTGTGTGTGAGTATCAGCAGAAATAACTATCAACAGGTTCCAGTGAAAAATAAAACTATTCACATTAGTGGCTGAATGCTAACATCAGCATGCTACTAACCTGGCCACAGTGACAATCCTGTGTTGCTCAAGTGTAGCAGTTGTAATGTTTTCCACATTTACCACATTATTTTAGCATGTTAGCATGCTAATATTTGTTAATAAGAACTAAACACAAATATCAGTTGAAAAATATGAGCATTGGCATTCAGCTTGAAACTTGGAGGAGCTGATTATTTACATTACTGGTTGAGCTGAATCATATAGCAAAAGGCCTGGTAGAGAAGCGTTCTCGGTTCTCTGTAAAATACAAACCAGCCTGCCTTATATAGATGCTCTGTGCAGATGTGTGTGTGCTGTGGTGCATCCATGTGTGTGCTTATAAGCTTCCTGTATGAGAACAATTATATGTGTCCGAGTGAGAAGGCATCATTTAGGGTAGCAGGTCATATTTGTGTGTGTGTGTGTGTGTGTGTGTGTGTGTGTGTGTGTGTGTGTGTGTGTGTGTGTGTGTGAATGGGGGTTTGCTGGAAAGCATTTCAGAGACAGCTGGAACAAGACATCTCATTGGCACAGTGTGTTTGTGTGTGTTTGCAGGCAGGTTTCTATGTGTGTGTGTATGTGTCTCTGTGTGTGTGTGTGTGTGTGTGTGTGTGTTGAGGAGAGGGGAGGTGAGGGAGGGTTGGTGTCTTCTACTGAGCTGCGACGGCACTACCGCGTGGCTCAAGATAATTTTCATCAAAGGGCCTCTTGATTCATCAGAGGGGCAAGGTATCATGGGTACAACCTACTGATCAGCCAATCAGCAGGGCTTTGTTTTATACTTTGCACACACTGCGTGCAGAGCGATGTTTTCCACATGAGCAGAGACTGTAGTATCATTGAAAATCTGCTGTAAATTTTTGCTATGATGCTGATGTCTACATGTGAAAGCAATTTTACAAATCTGAATATGACTTTAATGGGAATGAGCCTGTACAATACGCTCATCAGCAGCTATGGTAGCTTTACGTGAAGTGGCTCTTATGTAAAACTACATTCATGGCATGTTAACATTATTTCACACATACACTACATGCAAACATTGTCAACCACTGTACATTGCACAGAGATATAGAGTCTTAGTGCTGAGCTGGTCTGAATGGAGGCCCTGACCTGGGCTTACACCTGTGGACTCTGCACAGGAGATAAGATTAGATCCTTCCCCCCCGGGCACAGGTACAAATACACATTCATACTGTATGCTTAAACGGTGGTACAAATACATGATTGCACAATATGAAAAGCAAATGGATTTATGGATCTTAGTTAGGTGTGATTTTACACTCACAGTATGTTAAACATATTGAAGTGCACACAGGTTTGGTGCAGGTGTGCATGGTCCAATTGCAAATGTTCTGAATGTCCTGTATCGTCTCTCTGATGTCAAATAATCAATGGTAACCATCTTACCCCTACTGGCACAAAGTCAAGGCAGTGTTTCAGTATTACTAATGCAATAATGGAAGAGCTTATCATCTTATTGTTCCATCAGTCAACTACAGGGCCATATAGCTTTATTGACTTTTCAAAGCTGATATCCTGCCTGAGATGAAACTGCAAGAATTTTAGAGCAGACAGAAAGAGAGGAGGAATATAACATCTGAAGATTGTTATGCCTATTTGTTCTAATAAGCAAACAGCATTAAAGATAATCTGAAGCTCTATATCCAACTCAGGTCCCTGTCACACCTCAGAAATTTACCCTGCACACAACAGCCTTTTGTATATTTCATCAGGTACTTTATTAACTATTAATTTTGTATTACTCATGCGTCCAGATGCTTTCAAAATAAAGAAGGTGGATGTGCACACCCAACCCCTGTCAGGTAAGGGTGCAAGACAAAAACAGAAATTTGCCAAAAATATATTGAAGGAAACCTTTTGACCCACAAGATCCTCATCAGACGGAAATATATACAGACCGAAAATGGCAGCTGCATCTACAATTAAGAAATCACATGATATGAAATAACACCCATTATCCATAAACAATTTACTATGCACATAAAAAAACATGTCCTAAAGAAAGGGCTCTAGTCAGTACAGGACTTATGTGGTACACAGTTTTGCAATACACATTTTTCAAAAGGAGAGATTTTTCCCACATGCATGTTTTCCTGACGATGACCTTGTAGGTCAAAATGTTCTCTGCTGTATATGATTCATTATCATAAATGATTAAAAAAAGACAAAAAAGAGACAAACAAAGCATTCAAGGTGAGTTTTTCATACACACAGATGGTTTTTATCTTACAATTTTGCAATAATTGAGCATTGATATGACTGGAAAGTGGTCCAAAGATTTGAGAGATTTGTCTTATTAACCACTTTACCTACTTTCAAGCCAGCCTTAAAACACCCTTATTCTCCTGCACCTTTATTTCCTTTAGTTCATATTTATTTGTACATTTTTTTTGTTGTTACTCATACTTGATTATTTTTTGCCTTATGGTAAGCTATTTTAATTGCCCACAATCATGCAAAAAATCCTATGTAAAGTTCTTGAGCTGGATCTTATTCATGTGTTTGTGCACCAGCCTGTTTTTTTACATGTCGTGTACAATATGAATCAGTTGAAGGACTTTGAACTGTGAACTCTGCACCAAAGGTCAGGTTCAGTCAGCTCTGTTTTTTCTAGCCACAATAAAACAATGACTGCAATAAAATTAATTAATAATTAAATAGACACATGAAAATTTAGCACTTAATTTGATTTAATTTAGTGCCCTCTCTCTCCTTCATCAATGCACCAGTGTTTCCCTGCCTGTGTGACTCTGGTTTATCTTTAATGATGTTATTCCCCCTGTCGCCGCCTCTCTGTGTTTTCCTCCCCACACTGCCAGACACTGATTTATCATGGTTGCATTTCAAAGGGTGAGCACTGTCATGTCATTGGCTTATGGCCTGACAACACCCACCCAACCATAGGGGTGTGACTGGGGGAGGGAGAGGAGGGTAAGAAGCCAGAGTATAGGGGGTTGGCGTAAACAAGGTGCCTGTTCAGTCAGGTCACATGGGGTTTTCACTGGAAATGCATGAGAGGAACAGAGGCCGTCGTCTTGTCTGTGTGTGAAGGTTGTGAAAGTTTTGTGTCCGAGTCTGCCCCTTTAAAACGGGACCTCATGGTAGTTTGAAATTAAACCTTCAGCCCACCAGCATGGCACCCTCCACCTCTTACCCCACCCCTCTGTGTTTCTCATACTCGGTCATACTGGAGTGATCAGGCTTCTGAAGCAACGGTGCAGTGACACAAATGCCCTCAACAACTATCAGGGTGACCTTGAAAACCGGCATGGCCAACCAGAAAATGGTCTAGAGTCAAGTTAATAAAGCACTTTGGACACAGAGGACAAAAAACTATTTTTCCATTTTGGAAACGCTCGCGCCACTTTCCTTGGCTGAGTAAAGGCTCAAAATCAGCTGTGATTTCATGAATGAACCGATATTTAGATGGTCTGGGGGTTGGATAAAAAGATTATTGATAACAAGCCTCTTTTATGCCCCTTAAGCAAAGAGGGACAGAGCAGGAGGGTTGACATTATTCATGTTAAATGATCAGTAGAGACTGAAGATGAAAGAATAGACTCAGGATTATTCAAGGATAAGGAATATGATACAATAAGATTTGTGATACAACACACGGAATCAATCTAATTCATAACACATCTTGCGATATTTTGAATCCAGAAAGATTGAACTTTTGATTTCTAACTTTTTGATTAGTCATTTTCATACACAAATGTACATATTTTGTGTGTTAACAGTGAGATTCAGCATGATTAATATAGTATGACATACTTAACTTGGAAAAAAAAATACCCCCAATTAGAACATTTCTGAAGGACATAAATTCTACTATATGCTGATTTTACCAAGAAGCTGTTGGATTTTATTGAGAGGCTGAAGTGTAAGTGTGATTTAGTTTCAGGTGGGCTGGTTTTTAAATAAGTTGCTGATTAGAGTATAAACTACAACTGTACCTTATTTGATTGGATTTATTGCATATGTATACGTATGTACCACTAGCCTTCTTTCACCTACTTCTATTTACATAATCACATGAAATTGTTGTAGTAGTTTTTTTTTTCCATTGGATGGAAGGAAGAGTAGGTGTTGCACCAGTAACAGCTAACGGGGATCCAAATAAACACACAAATAAACCAACAATAAACAAGCCTATAGTGGCAAATCAATGCAGACTTGATTACACAATGATTCTAATGGGCCACCAGGCAGTTTTGACTGTTTCTGCAGAGCACACATTTGCATCAGTATTTGTTTTGCAGTCACACAGTGCTGTGTTCTCTGACATATCTGTACAGAAAGATTATTAGTGGTCTGATGAAACAGAAGAGTCTTAGGAATCTTTTAGTCCACATGTCAAATTCTCGTGAGACATACCTAACCCATGAAACTGTCCTAAACAAAGTCCAATAGACCCTGATGAAGGCCACAGGCTGAAACCAGTTGGTTTGACAGTAAAATTGTTCTTTAGATCACGTGTTGCTGGAGTTTTTACCTTTTCCTTCCCCATGCACCGTGAAAGTAGATGGATTTTTCCCAGTAACCCCATCTTTGCCTCTAAGCAAAGCCCAAGCAAGGAACATGGCCGCAACGTGGAGGCGGCTGACTCTATGTTTTTGTTTCACTGATGACAGTTAACCACCAGATGGAGCAAGTATCTCTCCCTGTAAACTGTGGTCTGACTGCGTCAAAGTGAGGGTGAGAATGTGACTCCGCTTGAAGTTGACAGGCTTCATACCAAACTGAGGTTCCTGAGTGAGGAAAAAAAAAAAAAAATACTTACACACACTATATCATTAAAGCACATGTGTGTGTTAAAGTGTGAGACAATAGAATTGACAATGGATTCTGTCATACTGGAGGGTCCATAAGAATCAGCCGTCAAATGGTGTCAAATAATTCGTATTGAAATTCACCACACGATTTAGACTTTGTGTTTCTATCTATTTTGTTGGGTTACTTAACAAAGGCTCTGGGAACATTAAAGGGTCAGATCAACATCAATTGCAAAAAACATATTTCTCACTGGCATCTGAAGATAATGGAGCAGCGCAGACAGATTTATTTCCTCAGTCTCATCAGAGCTACTTTCTAACAAAGACAAAGAAAACTGCTGCTGCCTGTCATCAACACAATCACTCTGGATTAGCAGCAGAAAATGGATGGATGGAAGTTACATACAGCAGTTGTTTCAACAGCATTTAGATCACTATGTAGGAGTGCCAGAGCAAACATGCAGACTATTTACTTGAATAAGAGCAGCAATACAGCAAAATACTCAAGTGTCCAGCATTGAAAATGTCCCTTTAGTTAAACTATCAAAACCATATATAAACTCACAAATATGACATTATTAGATTATTATTGACGTGGTGCTAATATTAAGTCTTTGATATACTCCAGGGTGGATTAATCTATAACAATACATCATAATTTATAATCTCATGTTTTCTATGTAAAATCTTAATCCGTAGTCAATTATAACTAAAGCTGTCAAATACATCTCTCTGAAATGTGGTGGAGTAGAGGTATTCAGTAGAAAGAAATTGAAATACTACATATGAAATATAATGTTTGCAATTCTACCTAATGATTAAAGAATATTCAGTTTTCATCCAAGTTCAGTAAAATTTTAACGTACACGTCGACACGGACCTGCAAATCAAAGGAGATGTGTGTGTGTGTGTGTGTGTGTGTATTGTGTGTCCTCCCAACAGGTGGTGAGGGGGCTGATTGTTATAATACAACTTTAAAAAAAAATAAATAAAAAAAAACAACATAAAATTGACATAGCAACAGGTAACTTTATATGTTTTGCTGTTATTTCTTCATTTTCTTTTTACATCCATTACTGTCATAATGCATTTTATTTTCTGTTGACTGTTTTCAATCCAGTTTCACACGAATAAAGTCGGTTGAACTGAAACTTGAAATAGTCTGTGTGCGTGTGTGCGTGTGAGTGTATGTGTGTGTGTGAGTGTATGTAGAGGCCGAGAGGTAAAAAGTTGAAAAAGTTCTCACGAGAACTTTCCTCTCGAGTGTCTTTATTCAGGAAGCTGTGGCTTTGTCTTGCGTCTGCTCAGATCTCTTCATCAGCACAATGCATATCTTGCTATATATACTCAGTGTGTGTGTGTGTGTGTGTGTGTGTGTGTGTGTGTGTGTGTGTGTATGTGTGTGTGTATTGTACGTTATGTCTGCGCTTGACAGTCAGTCATCCCACGTGTCAGGTGGCCCAGAAGGAAACCCCAAAGGAACTAAGGTCAGGCCCAGAGAGGTCAGGAAAAAGTCAAACTGTTTGGTTTCGTCAACAAATTTCAGCTCTCCCTACGCCCTTTCAACTGTCTGTCAACCACAGTCTACACCATAAGCTTTCAGTTTTCTCTTAGGACAGCAGAAGCTGTGCTACTGCAACAAGTATGCAAAACAGTTTGACAAAACTGTGAAGTAAAAAGTTTTAAAGTTTTCTGCCGGAACTATCAAAGCTGATCTGAAACTAAAACCCACTCAATAAACAATATTCTCCCAAGGTTTGGTTTAAGTGTCTGGTGGTAATCAACAGCTCAGATAGCTCAAATATTTGCCGCTATATCCAAATACTATACGTGAAAGAAGATCAGTGGATATCCTCAGGAACACCAGGGGTTGACACAAACAGACAAAAAGTCATTTTGAATGAGAAAGTTTTATATTTATCAAATGTTATTTCGATGAAAAGGAGTGATAGGAATTCACAGAGGGAGGTAGAGCAGATTTTATAGGATGAGGGTTCAGCAGATTGTTCTTCATACTCCAGTTTCAGCTCAGATATCTGTTGACAGTCTGGTCCAAAGAGAGCTGCAGGGACGGCTCCTCCACTCCACTGTAAGACACACGAATGCAGCATGAAACCAGGTATTAGTAATAATAGTCTGAATTACACCAAACCTGCTACTACTATGGGATTTCCACTATAACACCTCAGAAGAGCGTCAGTGCAGTTAGGGTATGGGAGCCGATGCTGATGGTTTTACATGATCTAATTCTTTAAATATGACTGTTTTACATTCATTTCAACCACTTAATGTTGCAAAGTAGTGCTAGTAGTCAATTAATTGAGTACCGGAGTCACTCTACAGAAAATTAATTAGCAAACTATTTGAAAATCAATTAATAGCGAAAGCCAACTGATGGTTCCAGTCTCTCAAATGTGAAAACTTATAATCAAAAGATGAATCGCTAATGAAAATAATCATTAGTCGGAGGAGCCCTAAAGCAATCCATAAGTTCCAAGCTTCATATTCTGCCATGGTTGCTGTAAATCACAGTATGGCATAAAATTCAACTTGAGACTTGATACTTAATAACAGTAAAAACTATCAAATTTACTGTAAAAGTTACATTATTGTTATTATATTGTTATATCCCTGCCAAGGAAGTCGACTGCCAGAGACAAATGCAGAAGAGCAACGAAGGCCAATGAAGAAATTTACAAAAAGCAGCAAGTCCACCAAATTAAATGACAAAATCCACTGTTTGCTGGAAAAATAAATCCCTTCTATGATATAAAAAGGCTATGGTTAAGCTTTGGTTAGGCTTAGACACTAAAACGGACTTGGTTAGGTTTAGGTTAAGATCATGGTTTGTGTTAAAATGACTACTTCGCTAGGGTTCGGCGAGTTTAGTCATCATGGTTATAAGCATCACAAAAGGTGTTGCTTTTCTTATGTGATGCAGGTTGTGGTTTGGCAGCTGACTCAAATCTTATGTCAACACCAACAAAAAGTTTTCCAAACAGTGCCTGTGCTTTCGGTACAGCAGTGCTTGGAGTTAAGCAAGCTAACATGCTCACAATGACGATGCTTACATGATGATGTTTGGCAGGTATAATGTTTACTATGTTCACCACCTTAGTATAGCATGTTAGCATCCACGTCATATCATTTGAACCATATTTATGAGAAGCTGAGAGGGAAAAACTGCTCAAGTCAGCCACCGACTTCTAATTCCAACAATATCTCTTACTTGGTGATAAAGACATGGCTGCAAATGCACCACTGCCAGCAGTTACATCCAGTTAAGTAATCCAGTATTAACTATTACAAACAATTCTGCTAATTTTATACTATACTAGGAACTATACACTGTTTGTTTGTATCTGGTTTGACTTGCTATCAAATTGCTACGAATACGTGGCACAACAAAACAAGCTAATTTAGGCTGTTTATCTGTTCTGACTGCAAGGTCTGCCGACATTGTGTGAATGCGGCATAAAAACAAAATACAGCTAAGGCTGATGGGAATGCTTCACAGGTATTTGGCCACAAAGCAAATTATTGGACAGGTTACATTTTTGACCTAATGAATGTTCAATATGGAAAGTCAGGAATGTACAAATGTCATGGGAATCCCATCTAGTAGAAATTTCACTGAAATCCACAGACGTCAACGTCATGGTAACACTAGGGGAAAAACACAAATGTAAACATGCCTCATCCCCTGGGGACCAATGTGAATGTCTGTGTCAAATTTCATTTTAATCCATTGGACCGACCGACAGACTGACCCCAGAGCTTCCAGCATGTTTAAACATAAAGGCAGCAAAATGTTTATTGTCATAGATCCACTGTATTGGGTTAGTTTCAAACTCTGTAAGTAGGTTTTCATAGCATATTTAATTCAGATGACACACACACATACACACACAAACACACCTGAGGACATAGGTAACACAGAGGATGCAGAGCGGCTGGTGGGCGCCGGGTCTGGACTTGGAGGGTCGGACACTGGGGATGACGGCGCTGTGACTCTCCACCCAGACGTAACCTCCACTTCTCACCAGCATCCTGTACTGACCGCTGACTGACTGACTCCTCCAACACACTGCAGAGAGAGAGAGAGAGACACACACACACACACACACACACACACACACACACAGAGGTGAAATCAGGTACAGCACATACAGGTACACAATGTGTGTGTGTGTGTGTGTGTGTGTGTGTGTTTGTGTGTGTGCGGGCATTAATACTCACAGTTCAGATGATTTTTGTTCAAACACTTTGTGTCCATTGTGTGACAGAGATCATAGATGGAACGACCCAGCAGCTCCTGAGGAGAGTAGCCTAAAAGCAAAGTCACTCTGCACAAACACAAAGCACAAAGCTGTAACAATGTGACTTTATTTCACATGACACTGCTTGATAAACGAGTCTTCAAACACGTCAGGAGGTTCTGAAATTGACTCAATAAAAGATCTGTGAAATACCGAGTAACTGAGTTTTTCTCATTCAGCAACAGCCACAAACAAGTTCAAGCTGCGCTGATATTATGCAGTCGTTGGTGTAAAAAAAAAAAGAAAAAAGGGGAAGCTAAAAAGGGAACAAAGCAGCAGTTATAGTTCTGAATGGTTTTATCACGCTAAATTAACCCCTTAAAATCCATCCAAATCCATATTTATTTTACACTCTCAGTTTAACATATTCTGTGTCCCCTTGATGTCAGCCAGATGTTTCCACTGAGAGAAAATTCAACCTCAAGACTGTTTTTAATGGCCGCATCAGTCCATCGATTGGAAATATTCTTGATGTTTCACATTGTGTACACATTTATCACCAAAATTCAGCCTGACGTATTTGGTATCTCTTGAAACTTTGGGGTCTCCACTAGACTTTAAATTGATGTTGTTCTACATATATATAAATATACAGCATTGTACATGAGACTATTTGTAAGGAAATTTCTTGTAAGAACTTGTATTGAGAGTTCTTAGTCATTAATCAGAACTATGAGAGATTAGACATTTTCTTTCCTTTAGAACTGAACAAGAAAGAGTCAAATTTTGAGAAGCATCTGAATTAAACTTCTTTTAATCACGTGGAAGCAAGTTAAACTGACTGTGTCCATCATAATAGTGTAGTTGACACGGACACTTGAAATGAAAGTGTTTTTTCCTTGTTGTTTTTGTTCATTGGATGTTTGGAACCAGCAGAACAAATATCAGTGCAGAACATGAGCACTGAGTTTAATAAATTTCCTTCCTTTTTCTTAATAATTTCATAATATGCAACAATGCAAAAACGAAATCACAACTCTTCCATATCAGGACATGCAAAATGACTCATACAGTGTGCAGCTGCTCCTGTTTTACAGCTCAGCAGAGCGTGTTTTATAGGAACTTCTTTTACTTTTATAAAAATACACTCTTACACCAGTATTTTAAGTAACATTAAGAGCAGGGTAACTACACTTTCACTTGAGTTTTGATTTCTTTTTCATTCAGCTGTCACTCTACTCATTTAATATGAAATTATAGCAGATTCACAAGTACAAATAATGCAAGATAGTTGGTGTAAGAGCACAAAGGCTGTCGATTTCAATGAATACCAACTCACTTGTATGCAGTATGTGTGTGAGTGTGTGTGTGTGTGTGTGTGTGTGTACATTTGTGTAAATCACCTCTGGTCACAGTATGTGAACCTCATGTCCATGCTGTGCTGGCTGGTGAAGGTGTGTGTGCTGAGGAGTGTGTGGGAGAGGGGCAGAGGTTGGCAAGTTAGCAGCAGGCAGGAAACTGAAGAGGGAATGGCACACACCCGTGCTCGGCCCTGACAGTGCAGAACCTAAAACCACACAATATAATTTAAAGTGCAGCAAAGAAATATTACCAGAGACTTTTTGATGTGTCATGACGTTCATACTGTAAGTTTCAGGAAGAAGGACAAAAAAAAGTCTGACTTTTTTTCAAGTGTTTCTGTTTCTCACCGACCTTCCATGTAGCTGATTTGAGGTTAGCACTTCTTCCTCTGTGAGTCAGAGCGCTTTTTATCCTCATGATAAAGTCCCTCTTTGCACCGCTCCAAACTTCCTCTGAAAAACAAGCAATTTACCCAGGCTGAACAAAGACTCTTGATGCCACACAGACACACACACACACACACACACACACACAGGCACACACACACCCACACACCTGCCGTTAGCCGTAGATTTGTTCTGATTTCTTCATGGTCACAGGGATGAGCAAACTCAAAAATATTGTGTCCCATCAACTCAGCCTGTCGGAAAACAAAAAACATGCATTCATCTTTAAATCTTGAGTCCTACATGTTCACCTGTGCATCATTCATATAGAAACATATGTGTGTGTATGTGTGTGTGTTTGTGTGTGTGTACCTGTGTCAAACCCATGTATTTGCTGACATTGTCAGACAGGTAGATCATGTCTCCCTCAGTGGACAACACCATCAGAAACCCTTCCAGGATCCTCAGGTACATGTTGGTCTCTTCCAAGGTCTCAACTGCCACCGTCTCTTTCTCCTCATCGTCACGTCCTCCGTCACGCTCTTGTCGCTCCTCTCCACCCTCCAACACTTGTCCATGTTTTACTGTGTGACTGGTCTCTGCTTTTGTCCCAGCGTGTCCTGAAACAGCACAAGAAAAAAAGGGAAGAGAAGGATTTTATTGATTGTGTGATTACTCTGAATAAAAGTTAATTTCATGGGAAACTTTTATTCTGTTCTACATTTTCAGAATTTGGTTTAGTGGGAACTGTGAACAAAGGATATGGTGTGCTTGTGATCAATCGGTATGTGTGTGTGTGTGTGTGTGTGTGTGTGTGTGTGTGTGTGTGTGTCTGTGTGTGTTTATGTGTGTGTGTTTGTGTGTGTGTGTCTGTGTGTGTGTGTGTGCAGGTACTGCTCATGTTGTGGGGACCTAAACCTCTTTACAGATTTACGGGGACTTGTCTTGCTTATGAGGACAAAAAGTAAGTTCCCATAACATAAATTGGTAGATTTTAAGGTGAAGACATGTTTCAGGCTAAGGGTAAGGTCAGGTGTAGATTAGGTTATAGGTCATAGGTTAAGGTAAAGTTAGAGTAAGTCCACAGGAAATTAATGTAAGACAATGTAACATCCTCTGAATTCATGGACACTTAACTGTGTGTGTTATTACTCATGTTATCAAGGACTTCCTCTATCGAACACTTATCTACAGACAGTTTAACTCAACCAACTTATAAGTGGACAGTGACACATGTTTGGTATATTTCAATTATACTTCAGAACTTAATGCATATGAAATATGTACATATATCGAATTTGTCCAATAACTGTCCAATAATTCAAAGGCTCATTTGAAATATATATATATATATATATATGTATATATATACACTGTTGCCCATAAAGTTGGAATAATTTTGTTTTCAGTTTAATTGTGGTTTAATTGTGGTTTAATTTTCATTGTGATATGTTCGGAAGAGATTGACCACTAAAGTTTTGAGAAGATATACACTTTATCTGTCAAGAATAAATCACATCACAATCATTTCATGGAAAGAGGTAAAAAATATTTTATTCCAACTTTATGAGCAACAATGTATATAATTTGGACACATATTTGTGGGATTTCCAAAAAACTGCAGAAGCAGCCACCAACTCAGTATCTTTCTCCACATCTGCAACCAGCAATATCAAAAAAATATATTTAAAAAATGATTTTCAATACAATTCAATTCAATTTTATTTGTATAGTGCCAATTCATAGCATACATTATAATCTCAAGGCACTTTACATGGCAAGGTCAAGACCTTACAATATTGTAGAGGGAAACCCAACAGTTCCCTCAATGAGGAAGCACATGAGGAAAAAACTCCCTTTTAACAGACTCCAGGCCGCAACCAAGAAAGAGTTTGGTGTTGGGATGTTAACTTACTTACATTGTGAATGTATTATTTAAAGTATAATTAAACTATTTGTTTTTAATTGGTATTTTATTAGTTGTCATTATTTGCATATAAATATTCTGGATGGAAAATTTCATATTTATAATGTATGTGCAATTTGGTCAGTGGCACAGGAAAGACTATCAAAAGTTACATTTCACAGCCACATGCCCAGAAACTGTGAAACAGAAAGTTTTCACTTCTGTCTCAACTCTTTCGATATATATAACCTGTTCTTTAAATGTGGCAAAATATACACCCATACAACATATATGAAAATACAGTGACGTCATTTGCAGGTGTAAACACAGTTTCTGCCATATTTTTATCAGTGAAATACACTTTTTACACTATTTATTATATTCGTTCCACGTGCACGCCAAATACTGTGATCAGAGATGGTGTTAAATGTCTTTAATGTGTTTGATGACTTGTGTTACCTTTGAGCAGTGTGTGCATGCGTATGTAGCTGAGGGTGAGGCGAATGACAGAGGGCTTGTCCAGGTTAGCTCGGACCGAGGGCTGGAGAGGCAGGAGCTGAGACAAATCTCCGAACACATCCGACTCCACTCGGCGTCTCTTCCTGGCCGCCTCACGGCTGATCGCCCTGCAGAGATCAAATGTCAGACAAAAAAAACCCATAAAAATAAGATGATTGAGAATAAGTAACGGCTGTCAATGCAAAAAAACACTACTCCAGTAATACATGGATATTATAAAATATAAAATGATTTTAAGTTCAATAAAGTCACTACATAATGTAAATGCATTAGCACAGACACTCAATAGACAGACAATAGGTAAAGATGATATTACAGGGAATGGCAAACACTGTAACTCTGTATGGGCCGATTAGGGAAACACATTATCATAGCTAAAATACGAAACATACTTTCAGGTTTCTAAGGCGCCAGTGTTGCCTGTTAAAAAATTAAATATCTCCAAAACCATCAACTTTGCAGGACCTTTTGACTGACACTGACTTTTTTGACATCATCTGAAAATGTTGTTGCGAATTTATGAACATGTAGGGAAGTGTGTAATAACTTCCTACTAAGATGGCGCTGATGAGTTAGGAAATTTCAATTTTTCATGCTTTTTTAATTTTTTTATTTGCTTTTTACTTTTACTTTATGATTCTGATTGTAAAATTTTTACTTGTATTTTTTTTTTCCAGTGGGGCAATGTTACTTTTACTTTTTAAAAGGATTTGAGTAGTTCTGCCACCACTGATGAACTAACAGGGAAGGACAGCAGTGCACTGTGGTCACAAGTGCTGGTCAAGTGATCTAGATGCCAAGTGTGGTTACAGAACCATCTTTGGCCTCACCACATCACCGCAGTTACAGACCAAACCAGCATAAACAAGTCAATTACACACGTATATAAATATATTTTTAAAAAATACATTGATGAAAACATACTGTCTGTGCACAAAGCAACATGCAGCTTTACCTTCTCTTCTCCTTGTCGGCTGTCATTGTATCCAACAGGTGTCTCTGTCCAGAGTCATGGTGAAAGAGATGTTCACAGCACAGCAGGGAATCTCCCCACAACAATTTACACCATCACAGGCAGTCTGATTAATCACAGAGGCAATTAGTGGCGCCAAATGTCGCAAGGCAAGTGGTCCCCCCTGCAGCACAGATGACTTGAACAGACTCCAGCAAGTGTCTTCTCTCCCCTCTGCATGTGCATCACCTCTAGGCCTCCAAAACTGAGCACAATGATAGGTCAGCTGGCCAGGAAAAGCATCACCCTCCCCTCCCCTTCTTCCCTCCCTCCACTCCACCCTCTCCTCTCTTCTGCTTCTTCGTCTTCTTCTTTCGCACAAACTTTAAAGCATCCCTCAGATCTGTCTCTGTGCAGCAGCAGAACAAGAAAGAAAGAAAAAAGAAAAAAAAAAAAGGAGGGAGGAAAGAAGACACAGAGGAGTCTGGGGGTGATGTAGACAGCTCAGTGTTTTATTGGAATCAGACCAGACAGGACTAGCCTGGCTGTTGCACTACATTTTGGCACAGAGTAAGATAGAAGTGTGACCAGGAACAGCCCTACCCCTGGGTGCACGAAGCTTCACTACACACCAACTCTACTGCACACAGAGCAACCAGCTCGCCTTCAGATCACTGTACAGTACACGCGACAACAGTCCTTCTCTGTGTGTGCATGTGTGTGTGTTTGTAAGAAAGAGAGTGAGAAGAGGAAGGAGGAGTCAAAGGAGGGAGTCTGTATGTGGTGTTTTGTGTGGGTGTATGTGTTTGAAATGAGAGGTAATTCAGCTGCTGGTTCTCCACATTTCTTTTCACCCGGCTGTAACAGACCTATAATAGTATAGTTATAGTATTATACACAAAGGATTCCTCCAGATACACTTTACAATAATAATAATAATAATAATTATAATAATTATAATAAAAAAGAGAGAGAGCAATAAGAAAGAAAAGCCATTCTTGAAAAAAGCAAAAGTCCGAAAAGCAAGTGGTTTTGGCTGTGTGAGACAGCTGCTAGAAGTGGGAAAGGGGAATTGGTGCTTTGGAGGAGAGGGAAAAAGAAAGGGGGGCTGAAAACACTGATGGTAACTATAGAAACAGAAATGCTGAGGACAAAAAGTCACATGCCATCAGGAAAAAAAAAAAAAAAATCACACATTCACACACGAAAATGTACATTCACGAAAAAAAAAAAAAAAAAAAACACCCACGGGCCAGCGCATTCGCACCGGCGGGACGGATGTGGACTCTGAAACTAGCAGATGGATGAAGTAGCTGGAAATCGTGCTTTTCACTGCTACACAGGCCGCCTGTAACACTCTGCTCCACATAATTAGTTCAATAGCCTGTAACTTATAAGTTCGACATTCACTTTGTACACACAAGACAGGAGGACAGATGAGAGCAAGATTTCAATCATCCACAACCCAAAAAAAAAAAAAAATTAACACATTTTGAGGAAAAAAACAAAACAAAAATAACACATGAACAAACAAAACCATAAAATATATAGATAGTCAGGGTATTGCACAAAAGGGTATTTGGCCCTAACTGGTCCACAATAAGGACAGTAATAACACAGGTAGGGTGCTTGTCCATGCGCCACGACTCTCCTTTACTAGCAGACAATACCAACACAATACAGCCACTCAACACAGGCTATATACAGGCCTCTGCACCCAGCACCCACAGTCCACATGTATACAGGTGCTGGGGGAGAGAAGCAGTGTGTGTGTGTGTGTGTGTGTGTGTGTGTGTGTGTGTGTGTGTGTGTGTGTGTGTGTGTTTGGTTGTCGGAGCATATGCAGTGAGCCTTTAGGTATGTGAGAGCGTGTAAAAATTTGGGATTGTAGTTTGTGTGTGTGTGTGTGTGTGTGTGTGTGTGTGAATCAGCATTAAAAGTGTGCAGATGGGAATGTGTGTGAGAGCATATGCAGGTGTGTATATTCATATTTATATTCATATTCATACTCATATTCATATTCATAATAAACCCAGGCAACAAGAACAACACAATGCAAGTAAAGAATATTCCAAAAGTAACAACAACCAATAGCTTCAAAGTAAAGGAGTGACCGTGTGTGTGTGTGTGTGTGTGTGTGTGTGTGTGAGTGTGTGTGTGTGTGTGTTGTAAAGGGATTTATGGTTCTACACATGTATGAGTGTCAGCATGTGTGTGTATGTGAGTGCCAGGTTTAGTGTTATAGGATCAGTGTGTGTGTGTGTGTGTGTGTGTGTGTGTGTTAGGTCTGTGTCTCCTCGGGGGCGCAGTAGGAGAAGTCCTTGAACTCATCCTGGTTAATCTGTCGGATGATGGCCTCGTCCGTGGGCGTCAACACGGGGTCTTCCTTAGTGAAGTCCTGGTCAAAGTTATTCACATCTCGCTTGGTCTTCTGCAGAGGCGCGCGCACGCACACACACACACACACACACACACACACACACACACACACACACACACACACACACACACACGGAAGTCAGAGGAAGAACTCCACTACAATCTAGTGCTATGAAAGTGATATTAGAGCGACACCTTCTGACCATTGAGAATTACTTTCTGTTTCGTATGTGATTGTGTGTGAAGATAACACAAACCTGTGCATACACACAGGTGCAGGTAGTTCCTACTCAAAGAGCACTGAGATTCAACACCCAGCTCTGCTCAGGCCACTAGAAATTGCTCAAATGAATAAATAATAAAATAAAAACAACAGGAAAATGACTTTGGTTGAATTCCTGGGACTCAGTATTCTACTGTGAGTTGATGGGGCTCATTAAATGATCAAAAAGTGTGAAATTGAATTAAAATCATTAGATCATTTCAAGAACACACTTATATAACAGTATTTTATCTTATTTTACTCATTGATTCTGGCACCTGATTAGCAGCTTATTTGCATTTTTTCTCTTTCTTTTTCTATCATCAGAAATGTTTTGTGAGCTTGTTCTGGCCACAAGAGGACCTCGTTTCACAGCAAACTGCAGAGTGATCTTGCAGCAACTTATGGATTTGTGGAAAACAAAAAAAGTGGTTTTATAGGGATGTAAAACGTTAGTGTGTGCTTGAGTACGTGTGAGTAATATGTGTGTGTTTCTTACAATTCGGGGTTTAAAGGGTGGTTTGACTTTTCTCTGCTCCAGCAGGACCCAGTCGATCTCTCTGAAGAAGGGATGGGTCTTGATGGCCTCCTCACAGCCCTGGCTCACCACGCAGCCCAGACGCTTGGCTGGGTTCTTGGTCATGAACTGCACACAAACACACACACACACAAACAGCACACTCTTTTGACTTGGAATTTGTACTGTCTGAAAACCAGCCAACCTTTAAAAAAAAAAAGCTGTGGTTTCATCCATAAAACGACGAGGACAGAAACAGAACGAAGGGCTGAGCAAAAAGCATTTGAGTGCTAATAATAGAGCTGAGGCATTAATGGCTCTTTGACTGGTACAAACTAAGAGGGGTAGTGGCAGAGTGATGAAGCAAAGTGCTGGTGTTATTTACTGAGACTGAAAGCTGTGTTTGCTTTTGTTCTGCTGTCTGTTCATTGTTGTGAGAGCACTTTGTGATCTACTGCGGTTTTATGATTGCATTGTTATCACTTTAACCTCTGACTGAATTTTTTTTTCAATTTTCAGTGGCAGAGAAACGCGCTGTGTAACACCTTTGCGGTAAGTGCACTTTGAATGAGTTTGATTTGCACGTGTGCAGCTCTGAGAAAAGAAACATGAATGACAGAGCGATCATAAAAATACACCAAAAAATCTTTTCGTGAAGTTTTGGAGATTACAGACATTCATTTCATAATGCAGCATGGTGATCTGCGGGTGAATGTCATATCAAGCTCTGCTTCTAAAGATCATGTTTTCATCTTTATCAGGTCATTTTTATACACTTCCTGTTTAATTTGGTATCACTAACTTGTTTCAGATTCACTTCCTGTGCTCGAGACCGGCTGCCCAGGCCTAATGTGTTACACCTGTGTCTCACTGTCTCCCCTCTCCTAGTGTATTTACTCTGTGTTTTCCCGTCCCTTGGTGCCAGTTTGTCGTCTTCCTCAGTTTTATTGTGTTTGACCTCAGCTCAGTTATTGACCTCGCCTCAGTCTGCTCCCTTGAATCAGTCTGCCTTGTACCTGTGTACCGAGACTGTGATTCCTGAAAAAAACCCTGGCCTGAGTCGTGCTTTTGAGTCCTTGCCTTTGTGGTTCTCAGTTAGTGACAGTGAAAAGCTGGCCAGGATCTAGGCTAAAATCTGGCTGCATCTGGCTGAGAAGTGTTTAAAAATCTATTTTACACAAAACTGTTGTTTCTAAAGTACTTAAAAACGACTGCATTACAACATCAAAATCTAGCTTTTTAAATTCTGTTGAACTGGTTAAAGAGTTTGTGGCTTTCATGTGTTATCATAACATTTGACTCATTTCTCAAAAAACCCAAATGGTCATTTAACAAACCTCATTGCTGTTCTGAAGGTGTTTCCAGAGTCCTCGCAGACACTCCCAACCATCTGAATGTAAAAATACTCTGTCCACCGGTGTATTTTAAGAATATTTAATGGTAACACATGGGAGGCGCAAACTGGGGCTGTATGCAACTAAAACATTTTCTAAACACTAAACACTTTTCAACCAAATTCAGTTTTAACTTCTTTTGACCAAATCAGCACTTACTGTGGATTCTGTCCACAGACCTTCTCACTGGAAGGTTTCGTATGTTTAGTAATGAGAAGTCTGAAGAAAACCCAAACAAGTCATACAGTACATGATCTGATCTGCTCAATTAAATTATACTAAAATGATACTATTCTTCAGTTTATCATGGAAGCCTTCAAGCACCAGTAAGAAGAAGAAGACGATGCGATTCACTCTTAAAGAGAATCCAATAGCTCTTCAAACTCTCATAATCAAATAAAGGAAGTTAGAGGAGGTTTGTCCCCGGTGGAGAGACGACACGTACCGCTCGAAGGATAGAAACCGCCTCTTTGCTTAGCCACACGGGGTAGAGGACGTCGTCATGGAGAATCGACTCAAACAAGTCGTCTTCATTATCGGCTTCAAACGGAGGCTGTCCGGCCATCATTTCATACATCAGCACCCCGAGGGCCCACCAGTCCACAGAGGCTCCGTACTCCAGCTCCTGCAGGATCTGAATTCAACAACATGGCGCAGATCAACATGACGGACAGATGGTATTGGAACAGCGTTTTCATGTCTGTTGAGGCTTTATGGAAGTGCAATGCTAAGTTGCTGAAGCGTTCTAAATAAAGCATCTTTGCCTCAACACTGTACTGTAGGTGCGGGACAAAACTAAGTAAAGTAAATTAAATTGGTTACCATTCCAACACAATGCAGTGTAAATCAGAGCAACGTGTGGCAGAGATATGTATAAAATATTCAGCTCACTTCAGGGGCAATGTAGTCAGGCGTGCCACAGAAGGTGGTGGTGGTCACTCCGTTCATGATGCCCTCTTTGCACATGCCGAAGTCCGCCAGCTTACAGTGTCCCTCTGCATCCAACAGGATGTTATCCAGCTTCAGATCCCTGAGAGAGAGAGGGAGGGAATTAGCACCATCTGTTTCCTCAACATTTGGGCTCACTGGGAAAAGTGAGCATGCAATGTAAAAAAAAAAACAACAAAACAAAACATGTGAATCACCATGTAATGCAATTCAGGTGTGAAACATACCTTCTGGTATGTTACTTATAACTGAATCCTTTATGAAGATCCCTAATAGTTAATTCTCTGGCTTCTCTGAATCTATTAGATATTTCTAGCCCAAACTGTTTGTATCAGTTTTCTGAACAGACAGTTTAAAGAGTCCTTGGTTGAAAAACATAAAAATAAAAGAGGTACCTGTAGATGACCCCATTACGGTGCAGGAACATGAGGGCTGAGGTTACTTCAGCAGCGTAGAAACGAGAGCGAGGCTCATCAAACTTCCTGGATCGCTGAATCTGGAACATCAGGTCTCCTCCGTTCACGTACTCCATTACAAAGAACAAACGGTCCTGCACAGAGAGAAAGACAGACGGGCATGAGACTGAGAAAACGGAGATGAGCAAGCAAATCTGTATGTGTGTGTGTGTGTGTGTGTGTGTGTGTGTGTGTTGTCTGGCAAGTCCTACCCGTGTCTGGAAGCAGCAGTAGAGCTGGGTGAGGTAGGGGTGTCGGCGGGCGAGGGCCAGGATGCGCTTCTCGGTCATGGTGCAGTCCACGTCGTCGTCCTGCAGGATGACGTCCTTCTTCAAGACTTTGACAGCGTAGACTTCCTCCGTCCCCTTCAGCTCCGCCAACATCACCTGGGAGAGGGAGGAGGATGGAGGTGGAGGTGAAAAACCAAAATACTGAGTGAATTCCTTATTTATGAATTCATATCAATACAATCTCTTCTTGCTTGTTTTTCGTTTTCGTACTGAAAAAGCTGCAAAGTTGCAAAAGTTATATACAGTATATGTCACAATTGAAAGGTTTTGTGTTTGGTTAGGAAACAAAAACAACTGCTGCCTTATAATGTAATGTATATGTGACCTAGTCTATTCCAGGCAATTATGAATAATGGTGAACAGAAAAGAACAAAAAAAAAACAAAAAACAAAAACAGTTTTAATTATAAACTTAATGAGCAGTAAACAAATAAACATCCCCCTCAAACGCCTCCTCTCTGCAATCGCACCTTGCCGAAGCTGCCTTTGCCGAGAACCTTGATAAAGTTGAAGTCCTTGAGGCTTCTCCTCTGGCTCTGTCCGTTCTCCCTGCCTGCCGAGGAGGAGGACGATGAGGAAGAGGAGGTGGTGGAGGAGGAGGAAGAGGAGGAGGAGGAGGTGGAGTGCTGGGGTCCCTGCTGGTCGAGTGACAGCGAGTCCTGCAGGCGATCTAACTGTGCCAAGTCTGTGGGTGTCATCGGAAAAGCGGATCAGACATCAGTGAAAACAGGCTGACTGCCTTTTTTTTCCCCCTGTCGCTGCTTGGCTCGTCGTGCAAAAAAAAAAAAAAAAAAGGGCGATTACTCATGATTTGTTACCAATTACTTTTCAATAAACTTTCAAAAATGATGATCACATCCTCTGTTAAAACCTGGGATGGCTCAGTTAAAGTATCTCTGAGCAGGGTGATTAAATAGCTGCAGTGACCGCTGTTGTCATCATCATCGCTTGGCTCGATTAAAACAAAAATGGGAAGAGAGAGTCAACTTTTATTTCTCAGCTCGCAAAGAGTGAGAGAATGATGACTAAGTAACAAATGGTGGTGGGCGGTGGGGGATAATTCTTAGATAATTCATGTTTAGTCTTATATCTAAGAGGGCAATAACACATTTAAGTACTTATTTTTTAAAAGGAGCAACAATATTATTACTGAAATCAAATTACTGCCTCTCGCTGGTAAAATTAACACATTAAAACCACATGCTGCTAAGAACGCATCTCGAAGGGCTTTGAAATGTCTGCGTGTTTGTGTCAAATCTGTGTTTTCTGATGTGCGTGTGTGTTGTGTTCGGCGTTACCCTGCTGTGAGGGGGAGGTGGGGACAGCTGGCTGGCTGAAGCTGTTCTCCTCAGTCTGAGAGAGCTCAGGAGGAGACTGGGGAGGGTCCTGCCCTGAAGTCAACTGGAGAGAGAAAGAGACAACATGACCGTTCCTTTGGGCTGACCTCTTAAAAACCTGAATCTCAGTTTCTTAGTTCAAGCGTGTGAATTTATTCCATAAAATACAAAAATACACAAAATAAAACCTTGAATGCTCTGAACATTGTTTCACACACTTTCCCTTGTTGCAATAATTTCTTTAAAAACGTTTGGAGGCACTTTGAGCTTCCTAAAGAGTTCGATGAGTTAGATTGCTACCACTCTCATGTCTGTACAGTGAATACAAATCTAGCACTAGCTGCTAAGTTAGCTTATCTTAGCACAAAGACTGCAAACAGGGGGAAACAGCTAGTGTGACTAGATAGCACCTCAGAATGCTGTATCTCCGCTGATACACATACCCCTTGTAAAAACAAAACGTACATTTTACAAGTTTTACCTTTACAAAATGTAACTTTTACACTTATTGTGCAAACAAGACACAACATGTTAATTAGCTAGCTTCATAGGTGTTGGTTGGCAGATGTAGTTATCTTTGGACGGAGAATAGCTAGCTGTTTCTTATGCTAATCTAAACTAATTGGCAGCTAACAAGTATAGCCTACAGACATGAGAGTGGTATCAATCTTTTCTTAGTGGATTTCCCAAAATGTCTAAGTATTCCTTTAATACTTTAATAAGGTAAAATACCATCATCTCATGTGACAACGAACACACTACCTAAAAGAAAAAGTTGCCTTTATTCAGTTGTGCTATCAAAGCAAAGACACTAATATATTCTAATAAAGGTTAGCTTGGTGTGAAAGAAACGTGCAACTTCTGTCTTATTATTCCAACCTTATGGACACATCACATTATGTTGTCTCCAATTTTTTTTTACATCTTTTGTGAAGAATTAACTTCATTTGCAGAGAAACTGCAGAAAGAAAGAATGTACAGCCCAGCAGGCTCAGTTTCCAGTGTCTAGACAGGAGTTTCTCCTTATTCCAGGCACAAAGGATGAAAAAGTATCAGTAAAAATATTCAAAACCATCTGTATATGTAATGAAAAGAACTTAAAACCAATTTTAAAAAAAGGACCAAATCCCCCTGCAAATGCAGAATCAAATTTGACAGGTACAGCACTTAACTTCCATGTTTCAAAATATTGAAATTAAACCTTATTAATGCAAATATCTGTATTAGTAAGGGACTAAACATGCAGCGCCACAGTGAGAATGATTGGTTACCTTCCTCCTGCGCTGTGCGGTGTTGGAGATCTTGTCAGGTGTGACTCCCAGGTCCGACAGGACCTTAGCGATTCCTCGGGCGTCCACACCACAGTTAGGAGCTACATTGGTCTCACACCGCCTGTGCACATTCATCTTACACACTGCAGCAAACACACATGAAAAGGTTCAGCTGAAACCTATGAAGGCATTCTGACTCACACATGGGACATTTTTAAAGGCAGCAAACTGTGCTGGAAGGCCATCAATACACTGTAGAGAATAAAACCAAACGGCTTGCTCATGGTATTTTACTTTGGAGTTACATGTTTTAGGAAGAGGAAAGAAAAGGTTTTTATTGAGTGAAACCTTAAAAACACCATGATGCCACTGAAAGGTATCAAAGTACAGGATCAATGCAGTAGACATCATCTTGGGATGCTACACTGATTTTCTTTTCATTATCAATCAATCTGTCAATTTTTTTCTGGAATAATCACTTAGTCTATAAAATGTCATATAATGGTGAAATCACAAGAAGTCCTCAAAATGCTAAAATTTCACCGACTTTCTTCTAAATCTGTTGACATGTTTTTCTCATGTTCTGCTTATTAAAGAAAAAGTAGAACCAGACACGTATCCTCCTTGGCAAATATATAAATGCGTGTGTTGCCAGTTATTATTAAACAGCTATAATGAACTGAAAGTGCTCTCACAAAATTACCATTCATAGACATTTTTATTTTTTTCTTTACAGACTTTATGCACATATTAGAAATGTTATCACGTCTTCCCCGTGTTCTCACATTGTAAATTCCAAACTGTACATGAACTCACCTTTGCACTGCAGGCCCTGCCTCATGAGGCCCCAGAGCAGGGAGCCACAGTGGTCGCAGAAGGTGGGGACCTTGTAGTTGTGGATACTGAACTTATGGGGCATGTTAACACTGAACCGCTGTGAACCCACCTACAGAGGGAGACACACACACACACAAACACACAGACGGTGTTATAAAGAGGTCACTGTTGCATTATCGGAGGAATAATGCATGTGGCTCAAGTGCTAGTACAAAGTGTACACATGTAACCTTAAGTAACCCAGATTTATTTACTAAAGGCCTGAATGGTGAGTCTGTTCATGTTCAGTCTTGTCTATATGTGTGTGTTCATGTCTATACGTGAGTTTGATATTTAATCAAGTGTTTATCAACAAATTATGTTAAAGAGGATTAAAGACGTTTTTACATACAAAGTCTATGTGCATTTAGATGGTTGCATTAAATGTGTGTGTGTGTGTGTGTGTGTGTCTACCTCCTCTGGTGTGTCCTCCTGCTTTTTCATCCCGGCACACTTGGTGATGATGAGCTCATGACAGCGCTTGTGGACGACACACGTACACACTGGAAAACGAAGCATCAAAATTGATTCACAAACATGATAAATTTAGTCAAATAATGTTTACGAGACAATTTTTTTTTTTTTATTTCTTAGAAAGAAGAGAAGAATAAAAGGAGTAATTTTATGTTCGCATGATTCTGATTCAATACTGTTGGACCTAGTGATGCCTTGGTCCAATGCACTGATTCAGTATCCGTGCCAATACTGACCTTATTAAAGGGGTCGAGTGTTGGGACCAAATGGGACTGATCCACTTTAAATGTCGATATAAAAATGTTTCAGTTTCAGAATCATTCATGTCTGTGAAATGTAAATTATGTCCTATGAAATGCAGGAATTAAACTGGGGGGAAATAATGACATAGATCTGTCTTCCATGAAATCCAAAACTAGCTGAATTATTAATATTTTTATATTATTATATATATTACAGCCATTACAGAGGAAGCACAACCTACTCGCCAGACTAAACATTAATATTGGATGATTGTGCAAAACCCTGGATTGCTTCCAATGCTAATGTTTTTAATTCATTATTTCTATGATATCCTACAATGTGATTAAAGTGTGGTTAAGGTAACACAGTGTCTACACAGTGTGTACTGAGAGCAGAACATTAGCAGAACAGCAGCAGCCACTTCGGGCCTCCGCCTGCATCTACACAGGATGCATTCAAGCTCGGTACTGCTGCATGTTTTGGCAACATTCAGAGTCTAATACACAATCACAGTAGTTACAGACAAAGAAAGAAAAAATAAAAATAAAAAAAAATATGTTTTGTAGCAGATAAATCTGCTTGTGCTTGGGATGCAAGTATTGTTTCCATGTGTATTAGTGAAATGTGTCACAATGAACACTGGAAGAAATGATCTCATGTCGCAAAATGCAGTTTGCATGTAAGAAATTTGGTGAAATGGGACCCTGTTCCATCAGTCATGCAGCTGAAAAACCTCCTGTGTAGACAAGCATTTAGATAACTAAAATTACTTGGCTGGTTAATGTCTGGGAAATATCTGTCATGGTTAAATATTTAAAACAGTCAACATTATCTGTTGGTTTGAGACAGGATGTGGACCCTAATCTCCAGAGTTTAAGCTGAATCCATTAGACAACCACCCACCACACCCTCACCTTTTCCCACGCTATCTAAGCAGCACAACTTCCTGCATCTGCACAGAACGTTCGTGCAGTACTGTAAACCATGTTCTGCAGAATCATCCAATTTGATTGTAATTCCAATAGCAATAAAGTACCTCAACAGGTCAGTTAAGTAACACTTTCCTTTCCAGGATAATTTTTAGGGTGAAGAAAACTGAAGAAAAAGCAATAGGACAACATACAACTGAAACTATGCTCATGAGCATTTTTAATCCTACTAATATATTATGTGGATTTGGTGTAATGCAGTTCATCAGCGGCTCTGTGGTGGCTTGCATCCAAATCACAGCTGTCTTTCAGCAACATGTAATCCCTCGTGTGTTCTCATGCTTAAATAATAAATGATGTGCAATGTTACTTGAGAAATTGGAATCCACCAGAGAAAAGTACTCACCCTGACACTGGTATCCCTGCTTCCCCAGCACGCCCCTATCAGATCACACACAGAGGAGACAGCGTTTCAGCCAGGTTAGTTAAGGAAACATAACAGCAAGTAAGTAAGGCCAGACAAATGTGTGTGTGAGTGTGTGAGTGTGTGTGTGTTTCCTACCAGATAAAATCTCTGCAATGTGAGCAGTAGGTTGGTTGTCTCAGGTAGGTGGCCATGAACTTGTGTCCGTTGACTTGATGGACGCGTCTTCGGACAGCGCCCTGTCGCCGGCGGGGGCCGATCCTCTCTCGAAACACTCGCTCCTCATTGTCATTGGCTCCTGAGGCTGTCGAGTGAAAGGACAGGAGTTCATCAGTAAAAATTAACTGAACTAAAACTAAGTAAGTTTCAAAAGAGGATTCACACACATCGGAGTGCGACGGATGTTTTCTCATGCCCATCGATTGTAATTCCTGAGACGTTTTGTACAAATAAGGACCATTTGCATCATGTTGCTCGAGATGTTTAATCATTCAACGGCCTCTCATCTTCCCCCCCCCCAACGGCCTCTCATCCCCCCACCCCCCCCCCTTCTCACAAACACCCCACACCTACCAGAGGCCTATGCATACGTACGTGTGCGTGCTATTTATACTTTCATGTGTGGGCACTAAAACGAAGGACAGCATATTAAAATACTCCTCCTCAGCGAGCACCATCCAACCAGCCGTTCCCTTCCTCTCTGCATCTCCCCAGAAAGATAAATGCTTTCCGAGGGTAACCTTAAGACAAGAGAACCACCTCCACTCTCACTCCCACACACGCGCTCTCTCTCTCTCTCTCTCTCTCCCCCTCTCTCTCTCTCTGTCTCTCTCTCTGCGCTCCTGTCCTAGTTTGCCTTTCTTTTACTCTCCTTCCATCTCTCTCCTGGGTGCGTTATAGATGTGGTTACTGCTGAGCCTCTCCAGAGTTCGATTACAGACAGGCTGTCT